AATCCATAAATGTTTTCCAGTCCGTGATAAATGTATTTATTTGCTATCTTTGCAAATTCTGTCATCTTCACTAATCATTCCTCCACTGTAAGTATTTGAGTCTTTCCACCTTTTTGTACATGATCAATTTGCTGCAGTTACTATGTATAAAAACATGGTATTTCTCTGTATATTAGCCCTAAAAAGAGAAGTTTTGGTTACAGATGAATATTAATCTTTAACACTCTTTTTATAACCCAAAATTTTCTAGCCTTTTCAACAAATTCACCCGACATGATAAAAAGATTGTTTTTCATATTTTAACATAGATTTAAAATACATTTATATTTTCTGGAAAGTTTTTATGGTATCTGTCCAAAGGTACATTATTTTGTAAAAATTCTGTTTGAATTTCAATCTTTTCAGTTATTGATCCACCTGTATATTATAGCCAGATTCTTAGCCCATGTTATTATACTCTTCTTCTCGTTCTTCTATTTCAAATTTTCTGAAATATTTTTCAAATAATTTGTCTAGTGACAAGCATTTTATAAAACAGATTATTGCACAGACTTTTCTATGTAGTAGAATTAACTTTGTGATTTTCAGACTTTATGTCAATCCAGGGAGACATTCCTTAACAACAGCTGTCATAAAACTCAATGCAGAAAATGCTCAATCATTTTAGGTCACCTGCACAGTTCATAATAAACAGTAACACAAAGCCTTAACATTACAGCTGTGCAAATTCTTGAAATACATATTTTATAAAGAATGTTAATGCAAATGAAGTCTTCTCTTGAAAACATTAAAACAACCATATCCTTCAGAAGGTTAGCAGTTACTGTTTCTAATTGTATGCATTGTGTACATCAGTGGTCCTCAACCTGTGGGTTGGGACCCCATTTGGGGTCGAACGACCATTTCACGGGGGTCACCAAACAACGCAGTCCACCATTTTTCCCCCTTTTCCTTAGCTGTGCTACTCCCTTTTATTCTATTGGCTTTTGAAAGCCAATAGAATAGACTCTCTTGAATAGAGTCTAATTCTATTGGCTTTCAAAAGCCAATAGGAATTGTCCAGGCTGTCTCTGACCTGCTGAGCCCGCCAAAAGTCCCATTCTGCAAACGGTGCTGCACCAGTTGAGTAGTCCTCGACTTACGACCGGTTGAGTAGTCTTCGACTTACAACCGGTTGGGGGTCGCGGCATTAAAAAGGTTGAGAACCACTGGTGTACACGAAAGCAATTTCTGCTGCAATTGCTAGTGAAACAGAGAGATTTATCACAAATTCGTCTTTGAAGAATTAAGTCATCTGCATTCCTCATTAGGTTCACATAACTTTTTAAAAAGAAAGTTCTGTGAGCCTGATGAGGAATACAAACATCTTAATTCTTCAAAAACGAATTTGTGATAAATCTCTCTTGAGCATTTTAAACAGGTATATTAAATATGCATGATAATATATAAATAAATGGTAATATATATTTTAATATAAGTGTTGTATATAATATGTTTAAATGTGTGTTATGTATATGTACACTTTGAGAGCAAGCAACTAAATTTCATTTTTAATTTGTGCCATTGTGCCCACAGTAAAAAAATAACAAAGTTTGTCTGTCTATCTACCTACCTACCTACCTACCTACCTATGTGATAATTAATAATAGTACTCCAGATTTTTACTGCTTGTTACCTGATCAACTAAACAAACAATGGTGAATATAGCATTTTAAAAATATGTGACTTTGATCTGTGTAGAGAAGATGACATGGAAAATCTTAAATTTGTCTCTGGTTCAAAGGCGATAGTTATGCTAATCTAACATTATTTCCACAAGTCATTGTGATAGCTTATTTCCATATTAAATATATTTCATACAGTCACTATTTTCAAAAGCAGTTTTCTTTTCCCACTTTTTATTCTAATTCCTTCCTTCTCTTCCTCTTTCTTTCTTTCTTTCTTTCTTTCTTTCTTTCTTTCTTTCTTTCTTTCTTTCTTTCTTTCTTTCTTTCTTTCTTTCTTTCTTTCTTTCTTTGTGAATCTGGCCAGACATATTTCTAAATAAATATGATTTGATTGTGTAAAGTTGGATAAACTACTCATTTCTTGACATTATTTGAGACTGAAACTTTATTTTATTTATAGAGAATATAGATTTTTGTAGTTGAAATTTTATGTATTTACAAAATTGTATACATGTTCAAAGTACTATGACAGAATGGAACAAGTTACTTGTCCCTGAAGTAGTCAGTGCTGAATGTTCTGCTTTAATTGCCTTCTAATTATCAGGCTGAGCGTAAGAACAATGTGAAACAATCCAGCTAAAGTTCAGTTCTTTATTTATATCACATCAGAGTTATACAATCTTAGTAGATGGAATCTAAGTTGCACAGGTAGTCCTCGACTTACAACAGTTCTCTTAGTGACTGTTCAAAGTTACAATTGCACTGAAAAAAGTGCCCCCAAGGCACAGCCAAGCAAGACACCTGCCTGCCTGCCTGGCCGCACTCTTTCTCCTATCCAAGGTTTTCATTGTGAGCATTTCTGTTGAGGATTGGCAGTGGGGGTGGAGTGGGGAGGTGTTTGGTTTTTATTCCCCCCATCTGCTGGGTGGTTGCAGCAGGTTTTGGTCACTTCACATGACCCTGGAACACTGTGACCATCATAAATATGAATCAGTTGCCAAGCATCTGAATGTAAATCACCAGACCCTGGAGATGCTGCAACATTCCAGCTGATCAGCACTTCTTCTGGGCTCAGCAGAAGCACCAGGATCAACGCCGAGCTACAGCTGGAGCTTGATGCTGATCCTGGCGCTTCCGCTCAGCCCTGCAGCTCCAGCCATCTCTTGCCAGGCTTGTGTGATGCTGCCACCGGTTCAGCTTATTCCCCTCCCCCGCTACCACTTTTCTAGGATGATCGCGTACCACCTGCCAGGTGCCAATGTACCACAGGTGGTACCCGTACCACTGGTTGAAAAGCCCTGTTCTAGAAAGTATCTATCCTAGATCTCTTGTTTTCCAGCTCCAGATTGCTCTATCTCTTGCTTCATTCATCTTGAAATATGCCCCCTTCTTCCTGGAAATATGCTGCATTACTGTAATCCATCACATCACCTTCTCCTTCGCAGACATATTCTATCACATCAGTAAAAATATTGTTATGGCTATGCATGTGACATATGCAGCAATAGTGACACATGGCCTTCTGAAAGGGTCTGATCTTGAAGACATCTAAAAATGGCAAGAAGTTTGAAATGCACTAGTCCACATATTGGGTAAATCAAAATTGCCATAGTTGCATAACACCTCTGTATGTCCGGGTTTGGTTTCCAGTAAGCTTTTAGGTACAACTCAAAATGCTAGCTTTAAATGATAAAACCTTCATAGGTACATATCTACCTAAACCATCACCATCTCCATATGAAATGACTGATCTAACCTTCCCCAAATCTTTAGATGATCCCTGAAATGAGTGGGTCCACAAATGTTACTTTATAGTTGTATTTGTCATTCTTCAGAATGGCCTCTTTCTCAAAATGAAGCTAAGCGTCCTCATTATTGGCGTTCTACTAACTGAAGCATTCCACAGGAAATTACAGGATTATTTCCTTTATTCTAATTTGAATAATAATAATAATAATAATAATAATAATAATAATAATAATATAATGTTGGAAGGGATCTTGGAGGTTATCTAGTCCAACCCCCTGCTCAGGCAGGAAACCCTATACCATTTCAGATAAATGGCTCTTCAGTTTCTTCTTAAAAACTTCCAGTGTTGGAGATTCACAACTTCTGGAGGCGGATTGTTCCACTGATTAATTAGTTCTAACTGTCAGGAAATTTCTCCTTAGTTCTAGGTTGCTTCTCTCTTTGATTAGTTTTCATCCATTGCTTGTCCTGCCTTCAGGTGCTTTGGAAAATAGCTTGACTCCCTCTTCTTTGTGGCAACCCCTGAGATATAGGAACACTGTTATGTCACCTTCTCTTCATTAAACTAGACATACTCAATTCCAGCAACCATTCCTTATGTGTTTTAGCCTCCAGTCCCCTAATCATCTTTGTTGCTCTTCTCTGTACTCTTTCTAGAATCTCGACATCTTTTTTACATCGTGGTGAGCAAAACTGGATGCAGTATTCCAAGTGTAGCCTTACCAAGGCATCGTAAAGTGGTATTAACACTTCACATGATCTTGATTCTATCCCTCTGTTAATGCAGCCTAGCACTGTGTTAGCTTTTTTGGCAGCTGCAGCAGACTGCTGGCTCATATTTAAATGATTGTCCACTAGGACAGAGGTCCCCAACCTTTTGGGCACCAGGGACCAGTTCCGTGGAGAGAGATTTTTCTGTGGACCGAAGGGGGCGTGGTTTTGTGTGCTGCCTGCATCCCATGGATGGGGCTTTGCTTCTTTGTGTGAACCAGTTGCTGGCATGCCGCGGCCCAGTACCGGTCCATGGACCAGGGGTTGGGGACCCCTGCACTAGAACTATTTCATCTTTATACTTGGGATTTTTAAAAATTGTTTGGCTTTATTATTTGGCATATTTTATGTTTGTACTGATTTAAATTACAGATATTGATGTAAATTATGGCACAATACCAAAAGTAAAAATAAAAAATATGAAGAAAAATTACATAAGATTGCAGCACTTCAGGTTATATATTCCTTTTATTATTTCTACATTTTATAATGTAGCAATAGTAAAAGGAAGATACAATCTGAAGTATTGTAATCTCATGTAATATGAAATTTAAATTTAGAAAACAAGTCATAATTGAGGTTTATAAATCCAAGTCATGATTGGATATTGCGAAATCACAAGATATGATTTGGCCTATTATTTAAAAAGATAATATAAACATCCTTTATAAGCCCAATAAGCATGATTTCATATTTAGTTCTGCTTAAAGTTTCAAGTTAGTATTTAACATTAACTTATTAAACATTCAGTTACTAAAGCAGAAATTATTGAAGCTAATATTTTTTTAATGCTAAGGTTTTTTTTTGTTACAGGTTGTAGCACAAAATGAACATAATTAGGGAAAATAAAGATTTGGCCTGTTTTTATACAACAAAGCATTCTTGGAGAGGAAGGTAAGTAATTAGCTATGAGCTGAAATTTATATTTTGAATTGTCAGCACATACAGCCTGGCAGAGAGGAAGGTTCAAGTGTAGAGCTAGCCTAGAGTCAAAGACAACCACAAAAGGGCTAATGCCTGCCCACCCACTTCCATCCCCAAGTTCCTTGGAACCTTATCTAATTGTTCCTGGGGTAAACTGCCAGATTGGGGAGATTCCTGTATTATAGGCAAAACATTATAAAGTAGTCAATTTGAACTTTGCACATATGATTCTGTTTTTCGTGCCTGATAGCACATTAATGTATTCATATATATTTATGGACTAGAGAAGTATCTATCCTTTTGCTAATAGCAAAGTTATTGTTTCTTTGGGGGTGTTTATCCTAGTTACAACATGCATAAGAGCAAAGAATCACTGGCTTGTAGGAATTTTGAAACTTGTAAGGTACAAAAAAAAGTAACCCTAAACACATATATACCACACCCACACAATGAAGTGTAAGGTTGGCCTGTAGGCATGGCATGCTGGCTATTAACAATTGTTGGAAAAGTTAGGACATGTAAAAAATACATTTGTATTAGTAAACTATCCTGAACTGGGTATGAAGCAGGAACATTGCACATTTTTTGCATGCCCCAATTTTACTAGCAAGTTCTTGTATATTTTTTTTCTGATACCTTACAGTTTTTGTCATTGAGTTGAACAGAGATTCAGCAACATATGTATGTCACTTCAGATGCAATCTTCTCCTCCTTCTTCTCCCCCTCCAAATATTGCAAATATCCACATACATTAAAATAAACTTACAATGTCTATTAAGGCAAATATAAAGGAATTACATTACAAAAATTTATTTGTAGCCCAGGTCAGCCTAAATTGAAATATGACACCTGTTTTAAATCTGTGTACAAAAATGTTCACATTAATTGAATAATTATTGTTAAATTGTATTTATATTTTATTGCTATGGTTTACGTTTTTCAGTTTGAATGTTCCTGTAACTGCCAATAATTTATTAGTTAAATCCAATTTATTTTTTCCTTCAATGACTCATCTCTTAATGTTCTGTTCCATTTTTTCCACATGATTACTGACTAGTTTCTCTGAGACATTCTTTTTCATACATATCATATGAGAATTTTCCTACGTAATTGTGTTTTGTATATTGACATTAATTTTCATTCCCATTTTTTAATATTAGTGGCATTTATTATTTCAGATTATTATTACAATTGTTTGTATTATTTCTATTCATTTTTGTATGCATCTTTAAAAAGAATTATCAGTGTACAATAGCCTGATTAATATTTAATATTAAGCAATTGTTTTAATATTAATATTAAGCCATATGATTATTGAATAAACCATAGTGCCCTGGTTTGGAAATAACACCAAGCTATGGGTAGATTCACACATTATCTTAAGTGAAAACATATTTATAACATAGTATATCTATAGTATATACTTACTGTATAGTAAATGTGATAATTTTATTATTGTATAACATCTATATCATAATATATTTTACACATTGGATTTTTATCCTGCCTTTATTGCTTTATAAGTAACTCAAGGCAGCAAACATATATAATACTCCTTCCTCCTATTTTTCCCACAACAGTTTCTGTGAGCTGAGAGAGAATGAATGACCCAAAATTACCCAGTGGCTTTCATGCCTACGGCAGGACTAGAATTCACAGACTTGGTTTCTAGGCCAGCACTTTAACCGCTACACCAAACTGCCTTTCATTTATTATGGTTATAATAAGATTTATGAATCATAGTAGCATCACCTAATAAATATTCAACATAAAATGTAACTTGTATGTCTTAATAGTCTTAACTTTATAGTATAGTCTTTATATAGAGAAACTATATATATAGTGTGCGCACACACACACACACACACACACACAGTTTTTCAGACAGACCGGTCTGATTGATTGCACCTTGGCATTTTGACTGCTAAACTGCAGTTCACTTTTTTATAATCTCTTTTACCTTGCAGCCCCCCAACTAGGGGCGTTAAGCAGGCTCAAGTCACCACTGCGATACATTACAAATCCAGATTTCTTTTTTGCTGACAAGAGTTAAAGATTTAAGTGGGAGACTAGTATAGCTATTTCGGACTCATTTGTCCTCATCAGGTAGCCACCCCTTTATGGGATTCGAACCAGGGCAGTCTATATGCTAGGCAGTTCTATTAACCACCGGGAGGGAGGGAGGGAGGGAGAGAGAGAGAGCAAGAGAGAGAGTCTAGAGGTAAAGGTAATAAAGGTAACATTCTGCATACTTTCATGTAAATCTAAATCCTTGTTTCTCATGCTAATATTTTTAGATATAAACGTGTCTTTTCAGTTGGAACTCATGCCATCACAACATATAATCCTAATACATTAGAAGTTACAAATCAGGTAATGGCAAATAATATATTCTCAAAAGTTACTATTTATCTTCTATGTGAAAATGATAGAATGAAAAGAATGTTGTCTCAGTTGCATGAATTAATAAAAGTAAAATGAATTGCTTGGCTACTTAATGCTGTTTGATATATATGCAGAATATATATCAAATCATGCAAGTTCAATGGCCAAAGAAGGTTTAAAGCAGAAGAAAGTTAACTTTTTAAAAAATGTTCAGTTAGGAAAATAAAATAGTGTATACTTTATGACCATTTAGATCACTTTTCTCTAAGCAGGAATACTTGCAACTTGGTATCTATGAATGTGAAATTATGGAGTTGGATAACTATTACTTAAAATAGACAGAAGATTGAGTTGGTTTTATGGGATTAGAATTAGATGAAAATAGTTGTAATTATTAAACTGGTACTTCATATTTATTAACTTTAATTTCTGTAGTTTTCATCCTGTTTTGTGGGGTTTATTTACAACTGGATAAGAGGTTATAAATTGGTATAATTTTTAATTTATTTTGTACATGATGGTTTAATACCTGCTTCGCAGAAGGTAGAACTGTAGATGCATAGCCATTCTTAAAAGTTTGTGAATCCTTTTGAATGTCCAATATTTTTGCACTAATATGGCCTAAAAATGTGTTCTCCACACGTCATAAAACTAGATGAAGGGACCCAATTAAACAAATGAGTTAAAATATTATTCTTGTTCATTTTTTGAGGACAATGATCCAAAGCTAGATACCTCAGGTGTATGGCAAAAGTATGTGAACCTTTGCTTTTAATAACTGGTGTGGACCTACTTTAAGATTCTAAAATATAATAACTGTTGATCAGTCCTGTATATTGGCCTAGAGGAGTTTTAGCCCTTGCTTCTTACAGAACAGCTTCAACTTAGAGATGTTGCTTGGTTTCCTTGCATAAACTGATTCTTTCAGTTCCTGCAACATTTCTATAGGACTTTGATTTGGTGATTCCAAAACATTAACTTTCTTCTGCTTTAAACCTTCTTTGGCCATTCAACTTGCATGATTTGGTCATTGTCTTGCTACATGGCTAATATTTTTCCTGAACTTCAGTTCACAGGTAGATAGATACTCTGATATTTTCCTATAGAATTTGCAAGTACAGTTTAAAATATATAGTTCTATCAAAGATAACAAACTGTCTTGCTCGAGAGGTAGAAAACAAGTCCAAACCATGGTAATATCACATTTCACTGCTGGGATAAGGTTCTTATGTTGGAATGCCCTTCATCAAATATAGTGCTTTCATTCAAGCCAAAAAGTTTTATTTTAGTCTCACCCAGTCACAAAATATTCTTCACATAGCCTTCTGGCTTATCCATGTAGTGTTTCACAAACTGTCTACAGGCAGCAATGTTCTTTTTGGCAAATAGTGGCTTTCTCCTTGCAAGCCTGCCATGCATACCACTTTTGTTCAATGTTTTTCTGATAGTGGTCTAAAAAATGAACACTGATATTCATCAATGCAAGAGAGGCTTTTAGTTATTTGTTAAATTACTCTGGGGTTTTTTGAAACCTAGAATATTACATGCTATGTTGTTGGAATGTTCTGGGTTGATCACTTGGAGAGAGTAACAGTGTTGTTGAATTGCCTCCATTTGTATGTAATCTGCCTGACAGTGGATTTGTGAAGTCCCTACTCTTTGCAAAGAGGTTTATAAGTTTTTTCAACCTGTTTCTCAGAAGAGAAAAGAAATCTGCTTTGTTCAAGTCATTTGCCAGGCAGAAATAAGTGACTTTAGATCATTTTTCTCAATAAATAAATAATGTTTTTGACTCATTTAATTGGGTTCTCTTTATCTAGTTTTAGCACATTTTAGATCATATTTATAGAGAAATTCACAAACAATTAAGCACCACTGTAATTAAAATGTGTAGATTATACATGTCAGATTTCCACATTAACTCATGTAAAAGTTAATATCTTTCATAATGATTAAATGTTTGGGATAATGAGAGTACCATGATTGGGTACCCAATAAATATCCAGTATGAAATCCTTCAAGAGACTGATATAGACTGATATGTAAAAATTTTTAAAATGTTGCAATGGTTAGATTGCAATGGTTATTTGTCTTTCTTATTAAATAGAGCAGTCAATTATATAAACAGCACTAATAAATGCAATATAAATATATTTTCCTTGGTTCTACTTCAGGGATGTCAAACTGCCGGCCCATGGGCTGGTGGCATCATGCGGAGCCGCGCCTACCCCAGTTCCGACAATGCAAAAAAAGTCGCAGTACGTCACAACAAGTCATGTTTGACATCTGTGCTCTACATCTTTTTGAAATATTAACTGGGAGCTTGAAAATTCATAATAGATGTCTGGAGTTTGCAACATAATACGGCACTCTTTGAAATACTTTACCATCCTCTAATGCAGGGGTATGAAACTCGCAATGTCACATGACATGTTGTGACACATCGTGACTTTTTTTCCATTGCCAGCAATGGGGTGGGTGTGGTTTTGGCATGATGCATCCGGCCCGTGGGCCGACAGTTTGACACCCCTGCTCTAATGAGTCTGCAGTTGCAACTCACATCAGCATTTTCAGAAGAAACAATTATCTCTATGTTCATCTTATAAAATAAGTTACATTTTAAAGATAGTAGTGTGTAATGGCAATATATAAGACACTGGGGTAAGATTTGATTTATGTTTAAGAAACAGTTAATTAAAAATGTGTTATGTTATCAAGCTAGGGAAATTTTTGAAAAAATATATGTTGATACAAGAACTCATATTCTGTGCTGATAAATGGAATATTCTCAGAGTGTGATTTCTTGACTTAGTGGCCTTATGGAGACATTTGTAGCATCAGCCCTGTTGGAAAAGGACAAGGAACAGAATTCAGCCTCACATTTCGTAAAGGAAGTGGGAAAAAGTCTGAAACACTTAAATTTTCTACAGAACACAGAGCAGAACTTCTTACAGAAGCACTGGTAGGATTTATTGATTTAAGGAATTAAATTTTTGTTTCTTTTACACTATAGTTATAAATAAAATGACAGTCTCTTGCACATGTTAAAGAACATTATTTTTGGATTTATTTGAATATTTCATACATTTCTCCATTTGTTGTAGTATAAAATGCATATTTTATTAATGAAGGAAGCTTTGGATGCAGATCATGTGCTTCATATTTTATTTATATAAAGCACAGTATTAGCCCTACTTTCTTTAGAAAATCAGACCAGTGAGATAACTTGAGCTGCGAAAAAAATGACTATTTTTAAAGTCACCAAAAAATTCTGGGGCTGAGACTATCCCTCTTTCTTGTTCAGTAGCTTAATCATACTGGCTTTCAATTATTTGAGAGCTCTCAGAAGTGAGTAGTTGAAACTAATAATATGGTTTGTTTGTTTGATTTTGAATTAGTCATATATGAAACCAGCTATACTGCTTTATAAAATATGGTTTGAATTAATATTCTACATGAATCAGAGCTCTGGCTTGTTTAGCAAGCCATGGCTAAAATGTTGTTTATGTTACACAGCATAAGGCACATATTTCCCCATGTAATATAATTTCTTTGTGCCTCTTTGTTGATTATTTTTCTTTCCTTTCTTTCTCAGCGATTCAGAACTGATTTTGCTGAAGGAAAAATCACAGGAAGGGCAAGTATTTTTTGTGTTTTGAATAAATATTAGTTAATTAGATTTGCTTAGATTTCCTTTCATGCTGAGGTTCTCACAGATCACTACATTTGAAACCTTTTTCTCTAAATAGATTAGACTAAATTAGATTAGAATATATTTATGCTAAGAATTAATTAGTGTTCTGGAACCAAAGAAGAGGGGCCTTCTAAGTGGCATTTTTCAAACATGGCTTCTTTAAGATTTGTGGACTTCAACTCTCAGAATTCTCCAGCAGTTAGGAGTTGAAATCCACACATTTAAATTTGCTAAGTTTGAAAAACTCCCTGAGATAGAGGAACATATGTCACTTGGAAACAATCCCTGTCTTGAAGGAAATATCTCCAGGAAGGATAAACACTAATCTGATTGCAGCTACTGACCACAAAAGAAGTAGCAGTAGAATTTTCATTTTCTTTTCCTTCCTGCCAACTATTACTCTGCTTTGCTAGTTGCCATGGGATTGCCTTGTACTGCAAAAAAGGGACGGGAAATCCAAATTTTGTTGCATCTGAGGAATTAAGAGCACTATATAACTTTAGTGTGTTTTAAATAGCATTTAAAACTTGTAATCAACAGGGGGGCTCTAATTATATTTTGAATTTTCAGTATGTTGAAGCCAGTTTATTTGAGGCATATTTTTTGTGGGAATGTGTGAAATATTTTGTTATGCAACATTCTATTTTTCCACTTGTGTTCTTTTTCATGTTTTGTTCTTTGTGGAGAAAAAAAATATAATTATAAATTAATGCATAATGAAGTATAATAATTAAGATTCAGTTTCTTCCTCATATGCACACTAAAATCACTTTAAATTACTCAACAGAATAGAAATATCATTAACTTATATTTACGTGTTTCATTTGTTACATATTTTTCTGTATATAAAGAATATGCATATAAATACACATTATAATATATGATACTTACATATGTAGTATTTCACTGTTTGTACACAGTCTTGGGAACATTGTTGGTGCTATTTTTCTGGTATATACAAACATTATATAGAAGTAGATGATGAATCTTGCTGGCCTCATCCTGTAACAAATTTCCTGTTTTTGTTTATGGTTTGACCTCTGAGGGGAAATATAGTCTAAGAAGAAGCTTTAGTATTCTTGTTTGATTTGATCTACTGAAACCATCAGTAACACAGAATATGTTTATACTTTTTTCACCTAAAAGAATTGTTACACTACATTTTTTTAAACTACTCATTTTTTATCATAGAGATACAACAGTTATAAGCACCACTGGAGTGATTCAAGACAACCTGTAATTCTAGAAGTGACTCCGGGAGGTTTTGACCAAATTAATCCTACAACAAATAAAATCCTGTGTTCTTATGACTATAGATATATTGAAGGATTTGTTGATCTGTCTGATTATCCAGGAGGCTTTTGTATAATTTATGGAGGATTTAGTAGACTAGTAAGTATTATAAAAGATCTGCTTTACCTGCATTTAATATCTAATACACTTGTTTGTTCTTTAAAAAAATGTGATTCTTTTAGTATATATTATTATGTCATTACCTAAATGAAGTTTTGAACTTAATTACTGTAATTTACCATTAATAAAATGTTACTTTCATATAATACTTTTACAGCTTTTTTTTTTGAAAGAAAACAATATTTCCTTAAATAGATAGACTATTTTAACTCAGTATTGTTAATTGTTAATTAGATAATGGAGCAATGAATATTGTTTAATTTAGCTTTACTTATACATTTTTTAGTTTTACAGACCTCATTGTCTTTAAAATATAAAGTCTTACAGATTTGGCAATATTCTTAGAATATTCATATCAAGGAATTTATTGAAATTTGCAGCATTTATTTGCTTCTGAGCAAAGGGAAGACATTATTAAAAGTGCAATAGAACATGCTGGCAATTACATTGGCATCTCCTTGAGAACTCGAAAGGAGCCTTTAGAATTTGAACAGTATTTGAGTCTTCGTTTTGGGAAATACAGCAGTGATGAATATATTACATCTTTAGCAGAATTTGTGGTCCAAAAGATATCACCAAGGCATGCGGTAAGTGCTACAGTCTGCAAGATCTACAAGTACTCTTTTTTATATATTGTTCATTTCTGCTATCATTTGCATTGCCTGCCCAATTTTGTAACAATTCAATTTTTGTAGAGGTCTATAAATTTGCGCCTTTTATAAAACTACAAATAGTTCTTGAAATAAGACCATAGTTACATAGTCACATGTTGTGACTGCCATTAAGCGAGAATGGCCTCACTTAATGACTTATCCCCTGTTCTTCCTGTTTAATGAACATGTGGGCTGTTAAGTAGAACACATAGTGCCTTGGCTGGGGGACATCCTTGAAGGCCTAATGCAGGGCTATGCTCACCTGTCTTGGACCTCAAAGACCATCCCTGTCTGAGATATCCATATTCTGCTTCCTTCCCCACTTGATCCTTCAGGCTTTTCCTCTCCCACCAGGTCTCTGGAGGCTTTTCCCTCCCCAACTGGGTCTCCACAGGCCTTTCCTCCCTCCCATTGGTTCCTGCAAGCCTTTTCTTCCCTCACTCAGAGTTCTTGCAGTTCTTCAGCCTGATTCCCATTGCCCTGACCCCAGATCCTCTTCTTCCCATCTTTTCAAGAACTCTGAGACCTTCCAGAATATTGGAATGGATTGCTTCATTGTGCGACCATGTGGTGCAATTCTGGAAGTGGCAGCAGTGTTTACATCTACCAGAATTCATTTTGGTGATTGCAAATATGGCGGTTGCTTCCAGAATTGCACCATGTGGCTGAGCAACAAAGTCTAGTTTTCTCCACATTGAAGAATGTATACTAACTAACTTTCAGTGATTTATATCTTTTCTTGTACTTCATTAATAACTATGTCTTTCTTCGAACAATTTTAAAATAAGGAATGAAAATGTCAAATATAATTTATAAATATATAAAATAGGTATTACCTAATATGTCTCATTTATTGTGCAATGTTAGAGTAAATGATGTCTCATGAGGAAAAAGGTCTATATATGCTGACGTAAAGATATAATTTCACAGAGGTGAAATGTAGAATTTTTCAAAATTCTGAATTACTGTGTTTCCCTGGAAAATAAGACCCAACCTTATTTTTTTTCCCTCCAAAAGAGGCACCAAGTCTTATTTTTTGGGGGGTGGTCTTTTCCTTCACCTCCGGCACCGACAACCACACCCAGTCAGCCCATTTCTGCGGCTGAAGCAGCAGCTTCATTCTGCATCTGAGAATGGAGCTCCAGCCTGCATTTCGCAGTCAAAGGCCTTTCCGGAAAGTCACTGCAGCCGAGAACTGAGGTATGGATTGAATCCATAGCTCGGTTCTCGGCTGCAGTGACCTTCCAGAAATGCCTCTTACTAGGAAATGTAGGTCTGGGGATGCCGCAGAAGAAGTGGGCTCACAAGGAGAGCCTGGCTGCAAGGTAAGTAGTTGTGAGGCAGCTCCATACCTCCACCCACTCCCAAGCTTGATTTTTAGATGTGTGCCTCGCCCCAAAACTAAGGCTTATTTGGGAGGTAGGATTATATTAGGCTCACCCCCAAAAATCAAGCGAGGGCTTATTTTCAGGGTAGGTCTTTCAGGGAAAAACGCTAGCACTGAGGTAAAAATCCTTTTTAATCGAAAGACACAGATCAGCTTTGTTTGCTACCTTGCTACTTTATTTACTATTTTAGTTGCATAACTGTTTTTAGAACAAGTTTTAAAGGCTTGATATGTACCAAAAGGATGCAGTGTGTAGTTTACTTGTAGAAATACTTTTGAATTAGTAGGCACATTAGCAGTACCAACTTCGTCTTGCTGCTTGGATGATCAAGAGATCTAGATAAGCTCCTTTTACAAGTATTAGCTGTATTTGAGTCAAAATCTGTTTACTATTTTCTAAGATGAACAGTGTACATGTACATGTAAAAAAATCAATCTTCACAGCAAGTTGCATTATAATTAAAAAATTAAGGAATCTGCATTTCATTTGCATACATTTATGTATTCATGGACCTCAATATATGTTAACATTAAACATCTTAATATAGGTAGTCCTAGGCTTATAATCACACAGTTGTTAAGTGAGTTGTGTCTAATTTTATGCCTTTTTTATCAAGCTTTTTAAGCAAATCACCACGGTTGTTAAGCAAATCCCATTTCTCCCATTGATTTTGCTTGTAAACAGATCAATGGGAAGGTTGCAAATGATAATTATGAGATGCTGCAACTGAGATGCTTGGTAACTGGCATGTTATTTATGATTCATAAATAACATGCCAATTGCCAAGCATCTGAATTTTGATTATGTGACTATGGGGATGCGGCTATGGTCATAAATGCAAGGACCAGTTGTAAGACTTTTTTTCAACACCATCTTAACTGGTTATAAGGCAAAGAGTACCTGCATAAGGAGGGTTTAGTATTTAATTTCTTCCATTTAATCTGGTTTGTAATTTCTATATAATTAAATCATTAATTAAATAAAATATATCTCATATTTTCAAGGAACCAGTGAAACGGATATTAGCCCTTACAGAAACATGCCTAGTGGAACGTGACCCAGCTACATACAATATTGCAACACTGAAACCTTTAGGAGAGGTAAGAAGCAAATAGTGTTTAATAGATCACAGAAGCATAACCTGACAAACAGCTTCACTTCAAGATTCACTCATTTAGAAACTCTAATACACATAATTTGTGAGTTCATAAATTACATTAAAATTTAGAAAAGAATATGAAATATTGGCATTTGTAATGTGGTATTTAAATATGTATAGAATAATAGATTTAGTATGACAAGTTCTATTTGACGAACTCTTTCTTTAAAGGTATTTGCGCTAGTATGCGATTCTGAAAATCCACAGCTTTTTACCATAGAATTTATCAAGGGACAAATCCGAAAATACTCTTCAACAGAGAGGTATTTTAAAATATTATTGAATTATCAATTACTTTGTTGGTATGTCAGTTTAGGTAGTATTCTTACATACACGATATAGTACTTATTTTCCTTTTCAAAATTAAATAGTTACTCATAATTTTTCAGATATATAGCTTATGTTTTTATATTGATAAGAAAAGATACTAGTTTTTAAATTCCCTTATCAAATCCTGAAAAAAATAAAGACAATTAAAATTATAGTCTAGAAAATAAACTTTATTACAGGTTAATAACTGAAAAGTATCTAAAATAAAATAAACCCTCCAGTACTCAAGGAAAACAAATCAGTCCTTTCCATTTCTTTTCAAATAAATACAGACATTGAGGAAGTAGAATATGGTCTATTATCTCTTCAGTTGCCCTGCCTCAAATAATACATTTAATCGTTCATTTATCTCCTGTTATGTTTTGAACTATTTATCAATTCCTCACATGTCAATTTTGGAAAATGTGTTTCTTTATCTTCCTGACAGACATGAGACAGATGGTGATGTGGTTTCAGATGTAGCCAAATTGATACTGTATATTACGGGACATGTTATGTTTGCAAATGTTGCCTCATCATATTTTATACAATTCAGTAGAAAAACATCTTGTTTTTGCTGTTCATGACAATAGTAGCTAAAAATTGAACAATTTTCCTAGGGATTCACTGTTAGCCAGTTTGCTGGATGGAGTTAGAGCGTCTGGTAATAGGGATGTTTGTGTGAAAATGACACCAACAGAAAAAGGGCAGCGATGGGGCCTTTTGAGTATGCCAGTAGACGAGGAAGTTGAAAGCCTTCATCTAAGATTTTTGGCAGCACCTCCAAGTAAGTGTGCTTTTTAGGATTTATATTGCTGTATTAGTTGGTTTTTTGTCTTCCTGCAGATTCAGAAAGCAAGCTAACTTTTTAAATTTTGGTTCCTACTTGTTCTGTTGCAGATGGCAATTTTGCGGATGCTGTCTTTAGGTTCAATTCTAACATTTCATACAGTGGAGTTCTGCATGCAGTGACACAAGATGTAAGTGAAAAATAAACACATCAGTCCCCTTTTTTCATGGTTATCCTTTTTGTTGCTGTTGAAGCACTTTTCTTTCTTCCTTCAGGGTCTCTTTTCCGAAAACAAAGAGAAGCTAATAAATAATGCTATAACAGCATTACTCTCCCAAGAAGGTGACATTACTGCATCTATTGCAGAACTTGAAAGCCAGTTCCAAGCTGTTAGAAGATTAGTTGCCTCCAAAGCTGGATTTCTTGCTTTCACACAACTTCCAAAGTAAGTATTTGAACCTCAATATATACTTTATTACTAATTATTACTACATTGTATCTTCTGTAATAATTTGTGATACTTTTTACTTCTGTTCTGTTACTGATCTCAGTGACACGTACTTCCAATGTTATATCTATAGCCTGTATTGGAATAAAAGTAGAAAGGGTTGTTCCTTTAATCCCAAATACAATGGTTTGTCAAAAATCAGTAGAGTTGAATTATAAAATCTACCCCACTGCAGTTCTATGGCTCCATATTATGGTGATTTTATGATTTTATCTTAATTTAATATATTATCTAATGTAGTCCACATATCTTTCACATACACATACACACACATTTGCTGACATTTTATTTAAGCTAAATTAGTATATCAGTGTTATACCAGTGTTTTTCACAAGGCAACTGGACTTTTTTGTTTTTCTTTGAAGACGTTTTGCTTCTCATCCAAGAAGCTTCATCATCTCTGACTGGATGATGGGAAGTGGAAGGATTTATACTCTTTGCAGACAACTGGTCACTTGCATTCTTTTAGTCGTTGAGGCCACTTGGAGGTTTATCTGTGTCATAAAGGTCATCTGAGTAGTGCAAATGGGTATGGAGCCTTCTTGTAATTCAACATTCTCCAAAATCAGCCCACGGGCGGTTGCATCATATGGATGCTGCGCCCACTCCAACTCCGGCAATGTGAAAAAAGTTGTGACACGTCACGACCTTGTTCTAAAAGAATGTAAATGACCAGCTATCTGCAAGGAGTATAAATCCTTCCATTCCCCATCATCCAGTCAGAGTTGAAGAAGCTTCTTGGATGAGAAGTGAAATGTCTTCAGAGAAAAACAGGGAAGTCCAATTGCCTCATGAAAAAGCACTTTTGGGATAACTATGGCCTGGATGACTGAGAATCTCCATAGACATTTAGTATATCAATGATTGCATGACCTCTGTAGATGCCATATGCCAGGAGTCCCCCACTTCTAGTCCACAGACACTGGTCCGTGGCCCGTTGGGAACCAGGTTGCACAAGCAATGGGTGAATATGCGAAGCTCCATTTGCACAAATACTAAGTCATCTCTATTTTGCGCATGAAACCATTCTCTCCCCTCCTCCCTGCAACCATATGATATATATGGTCTTTAAATGATTAACATTTTCTTGAAAGTATTGCATAGTCTGTTGGAATGATCCCTTTAACTAATTTTTGATTCCATCTGTAAAAAAAGCTTTCTAGGAAATCACTTTCTATGGCTTTTCCTGGGATTCTTTGCGATTATGTTTAGAGCAAGCTAATTCAATTTTGAAATAGGAATTCCAGATATACAAGGCATCTTGTACTGCTTGTCCCTGTGATATATTTATTGACAACAGTTTTTAAAATACGAATAGACCAATTATCTGGACAAGATCACTGTTTTGATCAATTTATATTGTCTTGTTTTAACAGTGTCCCCATAGCATTATTTGAAGAAAATATAGGAAACCCTGTTACTAATGATGGTACCCCTGTGATGTAAACGCAAAAGAAACTCTGTTCTGTTATTCTGTTAGTTCTTTTACAACACTTGTTTACAATTGATTTCTCCTCTTCTGTCTAAATTCCCAGAACATTTTGATTTATTCTACTAACTTTATTCAAAGAATTCTGTGCCTTTAAATGTTGCCAGTTTTTGTTACACTGCCTATAAACTCCAGCTTAGTAGGAACTAATTGCTAGTGGATATGCAATGTTTTGTAATGGTGATTTTTTCCCTTTTGATCTATTATTTATCTCCCTTTAGTTTAATGTTATGTTGTTAGATCCATTCACTTAAGCTAAACTGAACATTTCAAATTAATAGAATTGTTTAATTTTGAGTTTTAATACTAAAGATAATATTCACAATTATATATGTAATATATTGCCTTATTCTTTTTAAAGATTTCGAGAGCGCCTGGGTGTCAAGGTAGTGAAGGCTCTTAAAAGGAACAATGATGGAGTTACCCATGCTTCCATTGACATGCTTTGTGCCCTTATGTGTGTAAGTACTTACATATAGTAGAATATTTGTGATCAAATTTAGAGGCAATGATTCTTAAAATGAAGAGGTTTACGAAATGCTGAATTTCACTGGATTCAATATGTTATTGCATCTGGATAATCTAATGCATGATTTAAATAAGTGTTCACCAATTTAATTTCCTCCATATATAATGCAGATAAAATTAACATCTTCAAATCATTATGGATGGAATTTGGAGAGACTAGTTAACTAACAAAAGAGGGCAGTTTTAAGAAAAAAATATATATTTGCTTTTTTCAATTAAGCTAAAAGTTTTGAGTTTATTTTCTCTTTGTGAATGCAGCTAGGAAGAAAAAAAACTAAAAGAACTAGGGTTAAATTTCAGGAAGTTGGGATTGTTTTTAAGCTTGTGAGCTCACTGATATTTTATGTGAGTTATAATGGAAAGATTTTTAATTAAAATTGTTGTATAAGATGAATTGATGTAAATGTGTAAGATGAATTGACTTAGTATGTTTCTACCTTTATCATTTTTATATTATAATGCACATAATTGCAGCTTTATATTAATGACATATTTTTATCCATAGCCTATGCATGATGACTATGACTTGAGGCAAGAACAGTTAAACAAGGCATCCCTTCTTTCTTCAAAGAAGTTCTTGGAAAACTTGTTGGAGAAATTTAATTCACATGTGGTCAGTGTTTTACATGACTCAAATATTTAAAAATTCTATGTTTGAGAGATGCAATGAGAGGTCTTCTTGGTTATATAGCTCAGAAATTTTTGGTTTCATTGCATCATGATTTTTAGAAGACGCAAGATGCTGAAAATCTGATTTTATGGCTGTTTTATGTTACAATTATGTCTAATTATATTTGAAAATTAAGGTTATAAATAAATTGTGTGTTGGCTATAAGTATCAGCAAATCTATAAACACTTCTTTGGGTATCTCTTTGTGCTGTATGATTTTATATTTTAAATATTATCTAAATTAAAAAATAAGTTACCATATTACAAAGTAAAAACAGCTAGCATAATTAGCTGTTCTGAGAGAGATGTGCCTATAAGAATTCAACTTTTTGGAAGTATTTACTTAATTTTATTGAATATCTCTATAAATAGTCAACCATAAACTGTTATGGAGTGAGCCAGACTGAAGTAAAATAAGTGTCCTATAAATAAATTGATGTGTGACTCTCAAGATTTGTTTTAGAGGTTCCCATCCTTCCTCTCCAAAAGATATCAAATAACTTCTGCCAAATAGATGTTTTCTAATTAATATCTGTTAATATGGCCATTTTGTGACTAGATAAACTTTTCTATTTTCTGAGAGTGCCAACAGTGTATGTTCATCATTAAATATGTGCCCATCTGAAAAGCTTACTTGTCTGTTTTTAAAGTCAAAATTCTGGACTGTAATTGAGATCTAATATCTAATGAGATACATGTAGTATTGTAGTTGTATAATAGAAGGTGAATATAGTTGTTAAAAGTAAACAGGCAATCACTGAGATTATTTTGTGGATATTTTTTTGAAAATTAATCATAATGCCCTATGATTAAAAGAATTTTAATCCTTTTTGAGGATAAATTGTGTCCAGTAAAGAAAATGACTCATGCATATAGATTGGACATGATTTAACAGTAATTTCTTTTATAATAAGTTTTTAATAAGTTTATTCATTTTTATGACCTCTTTGGAATGTGTTTTCTTGTTGTTACATATGGGTGCAGCACACAGAAGTACTTCATTTTTGTTGGAAAGAGAGAAATCTCCAGAATTGGAAGTGATAGATAGGTTTTGTTCTGCCTGCTGTTCCTTTGAAGTTAAAGTGATTGTTTTATATTCAGCTCATCTTCCTTTGGAGTAAAAAGAATAGTTCTTGAGTATTTAATTTTTTTTTGTGAAATCTTTTAAAATGAATATATTTTTTTCATTTCTAGGAATATGGAACAGGTGCCCTAGTTATTAGTTCGCTTCTGGACTTCCTTACTTTTGCACTTTGTGCTCCGTATAGTGAAACAACAGAAGGGCAGCAGTTTGATATGTTATTAGAGATGGTTGCATCTAATGGGAGAACCCTCTTCAAGCTCTTTCAGGTTAATAAAAAACATTTCAGAAATTGAACTTTTTTAATTTTAGTATATCAAACTAATAGAAAGAAAAGTATTACATGCAAAATGCCAAAGGTCCTTTTTCAAGAGGGAACTGGATTTCCTTGTTTTTCTTAGAAGACGTTTCGCTTCTCATCCAAGAAGCTTCTTCAGAACTGAAAAAGCTTCTTGGATGACAAGCGAAACATCTTCAGAGAAAAACAAGAAAGTCCAATTGCCTTGTGAAAAAGCACTTTGGAATAACTATGACCTGAATGACTGAGAATCTCCATAGACATTATGCATGCAAAAGTGTTAATATCATGTAACTAAATTACTTGGGACTGGGTTATTTGAGAGACTATCTCTCTTCCCAGTTGATTCTATCTATCCAACCTGTTCAAGCTGGCATTCTTCTGGTCTTGTTGGCTGTCAGTCAGTGGGGCCTAGATGTATCTTTTCTATTATAGCATCTCCCTTAAGGAAGCTTCTCCTTTTGGACATCAGAATGGCCCTGACCTTGCTGGTTTTTTGTAAGTCCTTAAAGACCTGGCTCTGTGCTCAGAGATGTGTTTTACAATTGATTTTTGGCTGCAATGTATTTTAATGTTTGTATTTTAATTATTTCTAATTGTAAAACTTTGTTCACTGACCAGAATTACTTATAAGTTAAATAATAAATAAATGCTTCAGAATATATACTTTAAAGAAGAAATTTATATTATAAATGGAATGTATAACTTGCAGACATTTGAATTAGATTTTTCAAAAAGATAAAAATCTGATTTGTTACTACAAATCAGGGGTACCGTATATGCCGGCGTATTAGGCGACCCGGCGTACAAGATGACCTGTCTTTATCGCTGAGCCGCCTTCCTAGAACGTTGTCTTATATGCCGGAAACTACCAGTATTTCCGGCGTATAAGACTACTCGGCGTATAAGACGACCCCCCTCTTTGGCGCCAAGTTTAGCGCTTCCGGGAGTCGTCTTATACGCCAGCATATACGGTGTATTTCTCTTTCCAGCATTGAAAATCTTTTTTCCATCTCTTATGTGGAAAAGTTCATAATTTGTGATTTTTTATGGATTCCACTTTCCCGCCAAAGTCCCAATTTGCTATGAAATAAGTTAAAATTGTCACAGATAAATGACATTCACCATACTTTAATCCATGGTTCGATACTTTGCTTTTGATGTGTGTTTTAACATATCCTTGTAAATATTTCATATTAAACATAGAAAATTAATTTCTCATTATTTAAAGCAGCCCTTCCTGTCCAGATTTATAAGAGCAGGTCACTCAAAAGGTTGTATAAATAATACCAATTTCATTGACTTTTTCCATTAACAATCAAGTCTGAAGAAAGTAAACAGTTTTAAGAAGAACTACCATAATGTGTTTGTGCCATTTTTTTCACATTGAGATTCTCAAGCACTTGCAAAGTGAATTAAATAGGAGCTGATCTGCTACAGAACATGAAGGCTCTCAACTGCAGTTCCTATAAAAGTGATTTAGACTTATCGATTCACTATGTCCCCACTATATTGCTTTCTTATGCTTTGTTTTCACAGCACCCTTCCATGGCCATTGTGAAAGGAGCTGGACTGGTTATGAAGGCAATAATAGAAGTAAGACTTATTTTAAAAGTTTTATTTTTTAAAAAAATAAGAATAGGATACTTTTGTGCAGTAAACAACTTGTATAAAATAAATATTTGAAGAAATATGAAGTCTTTTTTCTCTTAATTTACTTTTCATGCAGCTAAAAGCAGTTATTTTAAATGAACCATGTCAGTGAAAATATTTGATTCTTACAGCACAATTTTTTTGTTCGAAATATACAGATAGTCTTCAAATTATGACACTAATTTAGCTCACATTTACAGTTGTATGTCAATATGGTCATTAATCACGTCGTCGTGTGACCATATCCAATTTTACAACCTTTTTTTGTGGCAATTGTTAAGTGACTGCAGCAATCATAAAGCAACGATACAGTACTTAAGCGAATCCATTGTTTGCTATGCGGCATTTTTGCCAGAAACTAAAGAATATGATGCAATTGCAAGACACTGCAAATAGGCTTAAGTGCAAGCCAGTTGCCAAGCTCCCAAAATGGAGGTAATATAACTGAGGGGGGGGGGAACCATCATCAGAATTTCAAATCTGGGTTCTAAGTACCTTTTTAAGATCCATTGTAGCTTTAAAGTCAAGGACTACCTGCATAAACAGGATTAGGGGAAGGGATTTTTTCCCCTTTGGTTGCACAAAATTCATCTAGCCATAACCCATGTCAAAGTTCTAGATTATGTTGTTCTGGTAATTATTTGGCAGTTTCAAGAAGTAAATCCTCTTACCAAGAAATGGTTCAACGAGTTCTCAACATGGCAATCAGAAAAAAATTCAGGGATTGACCATTGTTAGAACACTTTAAATTTACTTCTGGAAATCACCGAATTGCCCCCAAAATGTCATGAACCGGGAAGAGATTTGGCATGGTATAAAGAAAAAAAAAACAGTTTAAAATTTTCTGGAACATTCTCTTCCGTGATGATGATGATAATGATAATAATGATAATAATGATAATAACAATAATAATAATAAAGTTGGAAGGGACCTTGGAGGTCATCTAGTCCAACCCCCTGCTCAGGCAGGAAACCCTGTACCATTTTGGACAAATGGCTGTGCAGTCTCTTCTTAAAAACTTCCAGTGTTGGAGCATTCACCGCTTCTGGAGGCAGGTTGTTCCACTAGTTAATTGTTCTAACTGTCAGGAAGTTTCTCCTTAGTTCTAGGTTGCTTTATATAATTCTTTATTTTTCTATTTTTTTCTTACAAGGGAAGTTTTTGACTGCAGGTGAATTGCAGCTGTTAAAATCTTTATAAAGCAATTTTTGTGAAAATATAAATGCACAATATTAAGGGAATCAATTGGGCATTGCAAAAAAATAACATATTTTATGGTCTTAATGTATTCCAGGAAACTTCTTGAATTATTTTGTGAAATTCTGTACAGTGAGAAAATGTTTCTTTTTCCAAGGCTACTTTTGTATTTTTAAAGATGAAGTAATGATACCAAAGTTATTCAGATTTACTTCAGATGTTTCTTGTCACAGCAGAAATAAAACAGAAGTATTGATATGAGCAATTAGCTTTAAATTTTAGTATTAACAGTGTTTTATGTGCAGGTAATTACTTCACATAATAATATTTGGTTAATTGTATTCCATTTTTCCCAAAGGAGGGAGATAAAGAAATAGCAACTAAAATGCAAGAACTTGCTCTCAGTGAAGGTGCTTTACCTCGCCACCTGCATACCGCTATGTTTACTACAAGCGCAGATCAAAGGATGCGTACCAATAGGTGAGTCTAGCATATACAGTAATATTTATTGAATCCCAAGATTTTCTAATGAAGCACATTACACAACAGTTTTAATTTGGAAGATAAGTTAAAGATTCTGAATAGATGCTGAACAATAGCACTGCTGAAGACAGTGTTGTCTCTGAACTTCATTTTTTTCTAATAAAAATGTTTTTCCCACTTTAATTCTTAGGCAACTGAGTAGACATCTAGTGGGTCTTTGGACAGCTGAAAATGCAACTGCTTTGAACTTACTGAAGCGTATCTTGGTAAGTGAAAATGTCTCAAGAAGGCTTTTTTATTTATGACATTTTGCTATTATTCAGCCATTTCTCAGCAATAGACATTTTAAATAGTTGAGAAACAGCTTTATGATAAGTATCCTAGTAGAATCTTTTACTACATATTTTTAGATTGGTAAATATTAATTAAGGCCCAGAAGATCGCTTAGGCACGTACAAACACTTCTGCAGTACTGTAACTACATTTTCAAATAGCAAGTCATTGCACTAACAGAAGCTACTGTATGAGTTTTCCATGTTTCAGCAAAAACATGTTAGACAGAGCTGGAAATAGTTTTCGATATGAAAGATGCCTCTGAATTGTACTGTGAATATAGAATTACCAGCAGAGCTTTTTCCATCACTCAATTATAGTAAGATCTTTCATGCTCAAAGCATTTCAGAGTTTATTTCTCAAACATGAATCCTTTGCCCCTAGTGTTTGGCCAATCTTTTAAACTTTGAGTTCTGATTTGTATATAATAAAGATGTAGCTTCTCATAGGTGGGATTTTTTACAAAAATACACTAAGCCCATGGTGGCGAACCTATGGCACACGTGCCACAGGTGGCTCGCAGAGCCCTCTCTGTGGGCATGTGCGCTGTCACCACAGTCCTAGGCCTCCAGCTAGGTTTTATAAAACCTTTTCACTTTAGGCCTCTGCCGCCTCCGTGTGCCAAAAAAAAAAAAAAAAAAAGGTTCAATCAATCAATTTCAACTTCTTGCGGGGAAAAAAAAGATCTCGCAAAGTTGGAATTGATTGAACTTTTTATTCCCACCCAGTCTGCTGTTACCACCGCAGCCTTGCCCACCCAACTGGTCACGCCCACCCAATTGGCCACGCCCACCCAGCACCCAATGATACATAAATGGGTTTAGGATTGCAGTTTGGGCACTCGGTCTCTAAAAGGTTCGCCATTACTACACTAGGCATAACTAAGCTCCAAATAACTTTTTTATTCTTGACCATTTCTAGTAGTTGTATAGAAAATGTTGAAATGTTTTTTAGAGAATATAGTATATAAACACATGAAAATCCAATATATAAACACATGAAAATCCCTACCTATGGAGTAATATTTAATGATAGCCACCATTCTGTGACGTATGGAAAATGAGATAACTTAATATGGCGCTAAAAACATCTGATTAAAAATAACAGTTGAATAAAATAAAGATGTATATTATGGGTGTCAAATAGTAATTGTTGATTAAATTTATGGAAAATTATAACAAATCTTGAATTAATTATATACTTGGATAAGTAATGTAATTGCATTTGATGGCTTTTGTTCATCATTTGTATGTGTGTGGCTTTAGCCATCAGGTTTACTTGCTTACTTGGACAGTAAGGACCCTGTTCCAGACAAGGACTATGACCGAATGCATATTAGGGATAACTTAAAAATTGCAAATGTAAGTATGAAATTTTCCTCTTGAATTGTTTTAATATACATCTGAGTTAAAATATAGATCATGGCTTTGGGAAAGGTAAAAATAATTGATTTCTATAAATTAATTTTGGTGATTGATGAACTTTCCTCTACAGGATCAGTATGGGAAGTTTAATAAAGTGCCAGAATGGCAACGACTTGCAGGAAAAGCTGCTAAAGAGGTTGAAAAATTTGCTAAAGAGAAGGTGGATTTGGTTTTGATGCATTGGCGAGACAAAATGGGAATAGCACAAAAAGAGGTATAATACTACTGTTTAGTGTTCATGTTTAACGTTAGTATGATTTTTTTTTCTGTTTAAGTTGTTTGCCTAGATCTGTTTGGTTGCATTGATTTTATAGTTGACTCTGAATGTATTATCAATATATTCTTATCCGCAGAGAAATTGAAGACAGTTTCTTCTATTAAAGGTGATGCCTAATCAAGCCTATTTTTTCCTTGAAGCTGGGAAATTGGTATTTAAGACAACTGCTACATGTTATAAAGGTGAAACATAGGTTTAAGGCAGTGGTAGGATTCAGCCAGTTCGCACGACTTCAGCAGAACCGATAGCTAATTTTTTGATGCCCAGGCCTAGAATGGATTTCCAGAAATGGCATCCACACAGAGAACCAGTTGTTCACATATTTGGATCCCACCACTGATTTAAGGGCATATATATTTGAGCAGTTAATATATTTAGGTGTATGAAAATATCTCTTAATTCTCAATTTGTCTTAGAATTTGCTTTCCTTCTATTCTTATGTATTTGTGTAGCTTTTTGATGCATATAATTATTTATGGCTTTTTACATTACATGCTTGTGATCTGATTCACACTCTATTAGCCGTAACGTGATGTATGTTTTGGCTGAATAGTGTTTAACTAAACCATGGTTTTCTTCTGAAGACGGAATTGTGCATGGTGCTAATCTAAAAACAAACCAACTTCCATATAGATTAGTGTGTTAAATATATAAAGTTTGATGTTGACATAATAAAAATAAAAATAAGCATTGTAAATAGCCTTATTGTCCATTCTATTCAGAGTAATAGATATATCAATTTATGAAATTACTAGTATGACTAACACATATTATCTAATTACAGTTGTGACCATACCTAAAATTCTATGCTGTTTTTTATGGAATAAGTGGAAAAAAATGAGGAACCATTTTAGTTCATACATTTTCTATATATTCAGTTCATTAAATGACATTAAATTTTCCAGTTAATGTTTCCTATTACTTTGTTCCATGAATATCCCCTCCCAACAGCAGTGTGGTTAGTAGAAGTTAGAGGTATGGTTTAAGGTTCTCTTGTAGGAGGTTATTCTAAAATATTAAAACATTTGAGAGGCATTTCTGTTAAACATAAATTTTGTTTTTCCTTTTATTTCCCAAATACAACTAGGATAGAAACAATATGGTGAGTCTTTATTCCTTTCTGAAAACTGCCTTGAATTAGCTTAGTGTATAGCAACTTGTCTGCCAATATAAAATTGATTCAAACTATTGCTTGATTACGTTTGGCTTATTATTGATGTTTCAGCTTTTTAAAAATATAGAAGTCTTCACTTGCTAACTTATAACTTCTATTTTGGTTATTCTTCTCCAAATTGATTGCCTTAGATTTCCAATTATTTTCATAAACACTGTAAAGAAGTTGCTTTCTCACACATCATAGTCAAGTGGTTTATACCATACATTGGTAGTGAATTGTTAAGATTCCATAACAATGAAAAAGAAGCTACAGATAGTTCTTAATTTATGACCACAAAGAGGCCAAGTTTCTTTTGTAAGTTGATGTGATCATAAAGCAAATCATCACATGACCATATCCAATTTTACAACCATTGTTACTTTGGCCGTTAAGCAAATCACTGCATTGTTAAGTGAACCATGGGGTCATTAGTGAATCAAGCAGTTGTAAGTGAGTCCGGTTTCCTCAGTTGACGTTGTTGCTCACAAGATTACAAATTGTGATCACATGACAGCTAGATATTGCAACCATTGTTAATGAAATCTGGTTCCCACGTATCTGAATTGTGATCACATGACTGGGGAGTGACAATTGTAACTTCAAAGATGTCACTTGTTGAGGCCATTGTATATTTGAACCTTCATTAAACAAACAGGTCATAAATCAAGGGCTATCTGTGGTACAAAACAGAATTGATTAAGGCCATATTTAGCTGGGTTTTTTTAACTTTTATAAAGTTGATCTATATTGCTATGAATGCCTATCCCACTTTACTGCTTCAGATGGGGGAAAAGGTACTTATGATTTTTGAGAAAGTTTCTACTTTTCATAAAAGGAAAGCTTCATATTTCCATGAAATGCATGAACTCATTTCACAGTTACTTTTTAGATATAATTTGATTGAATTTATTTTGTAGAATCTCAATCAAAAGCCAGTAATACTGAGGAAACGAAGGCAAAGGATAAAAATACAAGCCAACTGGGATCTCTTTTATTACCGGTAAACAATTCAGAGGGAAATGGTGTGCCTTTTTATCATTTTTTTTAAATTATCATTTAAAATCTGTTTCTTACATTGTTTGTACAGATTTATCCAAGATCACACTAGATCCAATTTGATCTGGAATTTCAAAACGAGGGAAGAATTAAGAGATTCCTTAGAGACTGAAATGCGGGCATTTCAGATTGACAGAGAACTTGGCAGCACCACTGTCATTTCCTGGAATCATCATGAATTTGAAGTATGTCTTCATCTGATATTTATCCCATGAAATTAGAAGCTTTGTTGATTTTGAATCTAAATATCTTGTCATCTGGATCTGTAGTACCATTTCTAAACTATTAATACATAAAATTCTGATTACAATTATTTACATAACTACAAATCAGTGCCCTTTCTATATTCAAAAAAATTCCTATTGCAGTTTTAATCATTGAGAGTATTATAAAAGTAAGAAAATTTAGCCTATCAAATTAAGCCCCATATGCCTTCAGTACTGGATATCTACAGAATTGTCCAGTGGCTTCTGCTGGCACACTCTGATTATGATTATTTCCATTCTAAGGGATGTCATCTACAGGGCCCAAGAATTTATGCTTCTCTGTTGGTTCCCCACTTATTTGAAATAGTCTGCCTTTTGAGATCAGATTAGACCCCATGTTATAGTTTCAGGGCAGTCACGTAAACTGGACTTTTTTTGAAAAAACAAAACAAAACATATCTGAGCTAAATTAGACTTCCCATCTATGATTGGGGTTTTCTTTCTTTCTGGTCTTTAATTTTTTAGTAATTTTTTGTTACTTCTTTTTTGCATTATTTTATTTTATTATACTGTTGTATTTTAACCCCTTTACTGTAGAAGTGAATGTAAGCTGTTCAGAGTTATGTTAGAGTAGAAAAATATCTTAGCCCCAGCAAATAAATTAATAAATCTTACTCAAATTCCTGTGATGTCTTTTCTGGAATAAATGAATTCAGTTTGGTGAGATTTATTAATCCACGGGAGTAATTAAGATTGTTCATTACTCAGTTGCTGATTGCTTTAAGGTGTCACATAAAAATAATAGTTGTAAACAAAAATATGCACATATTCCCAAGAATAAGCAAATATTCCCCTTTCTTCTTCTACATATGAGTATGTTTCTTACAAAATTTCTTAACAAAAAAATTCTGAGATTTTATTACATTAATTTCATTTATCATAGATAGATATTGTATTAGAACCTTCTCTACTTTCTCTTTGTAAAAGGTGAAATATGAATGCCTGTCAGAAGAAATTAAAATAGGGGATTATTATTTGAGGTTGCTTTTAGAAGAAGAGGAAAGTCAGGAAAGTGAAGCAATTAAAAAATCGTAAGTTATTATCTTAACATTAAAAGTTGCATTTAAAATATAAAGACTGAGTCTTAAATCATTCTTTGTCTTTTTTTTTCTTGATAGATATGAATTTTTCAATGAGTTGTATCATCGTTTCCTGCTCACTCCTAAAATAAATATGAAATGTCTCTGCCTACAAGCCCTGGCTATTGTATATGGAAGATGCTATGAGGAGATAGGTGCATTTGGTGATACTAGATACATTGTAGGGATGTTGGAAAGAGTAAGTATTTCCTAAATTATTGCACAGTTTTGGAAAGCAGGCAACAAATGTCATTTATTGATACCTCTCTCCAAATTTGGCTAGCAAGCAGCTAAGATGTCTCTTTGAATATTTTTCATGAGAATATAAATTGATATTATTTCCCAAATTTCTTTAGCATAGACATTACTAGAACTGATGTTTTTATAGTATCTGTTTCTGTGTCCAAAGGCATTAAAATATGTCAGATAATCTTGAATTGTGGACAGTAAAGCCAGGCCGAAATATATATTTTGTAAATATTGCCATAATTATAATAACATTGTTCTGAATCCCTCTCCTGAAAGATATTTTATGAAACCTCAGGGTTAACTAGTTTGGGGCATCACATTTTTGGACGACATGTGATACATGCAGGCAGACAAAGAGACATTATATATGTAGGAAAACTGCCATTTGAATTTGCTGATTTTAATAGTTTGGGCTCTGTTGAACTCTTCAATGTTTGTGCTTTTGTCATTATTGCTGTTTTCAGTGTCCCTGTTCCCACAATCTTATTTGAATTAGTAAGAAAGTTTATGTATTGTGTTAATTAATTAATTAGTCCTGAACATTCATTTTATCCTAAACTGTCATGCCTAGGGTTAACTGATTCCTTCCAATCAATTGTATTATAAGAAATCCTAAATATAGTTAATTTACCTATACTGCATCCTCCTTGAAATAAATAAACAAACAAATAGGAAGAAAAAAGAAGCTAAAAAATCCTTTCTATGACAATTTGCTACTAAGACTTGGTAGCATAAGCACACTTCCCAGATATTGACCTGGAATGGCCAAGCCTGTCTGCTGACTGACTGCTAGAACAGTGAGAAGGTGGCTGGTCGTACTGTGAAACTTTGGCCATACTCTTAGATGTAAGAAATCATGCGATACTAGATACGTACTGGAGGAAATAAGCAGATGTTTCCCAGGGAGTGTTATTTGATTTAACTAATGTGATATTGTATTTTACCGTAACCATTAATGAGAAGCTTTGATTAGGTTGATGACTTACCTTGTTGTGATTGTTGTGGAAACAAGGTTACTATTTCCAAACATCATAGTGTTTTCACTATTTTCAGTCTTTGGAGATTGCAAGATAATGGTATTTAATTATGTTGCTAATGATGCATTAAAGGAGACTGAGATAGCATTTAATCACAGGTTTTCAGGCTTTTTCTGTTAAAAAGCAAGCCTTATATTTTTTTATAGTGCACTGACAGACTGGAACGGGACCGGCTGATAATATTTCTTAACAAACTGATTCTTAACAAGGTGAGCAAGAATTCATACAATTTGTACTGAAAGTGCTATAATGTAATAGACAGGTGTATAGACAGGTTTATGGACCTGTCTATAAGCAACTCAGTCTTTTTATTATAAATATTAAATAATGGAAGACATATAATTGTATTAACGATGATTTTATATCACATAGAAGCTTTATTTGTATGTTTTGTAACAATTGAGGCAACCATGAATGGATTAATTTCAGCTGAATGTTTTGTTTGAGGAGAATTTGAGGCAAATTATTTTGGCTGCATTTTGCATAGTATTATTTGTGATGCTGAGCTTGTCAGCTGGAAAGCTGACAACCTAGGTTTGAAATCTTGAGTACTACACAACAGGGTGATCTCTCATTACTTTCTCCAGCTCCAACTTAGCAGTTTAAAAGCATGTGAATGCAAGTAGATAAATAGGTTCCACTTCAGTGGAAAGGTAAAGCGTTCCACGCACCTCAGTGTATAGTCATGCTGGTTGCATGACCACAGAAGTATCTTTAGACAATGCTGGTTCCCTCCACTAAGAAATGGTGATGAGCACTGCCCCCTGGAGTTAGGCTCAATAGGGCAGGTTTTTTTTATCTTTATCTTTAATAGAAGTTTTGATAAAATGCAAATGAGCTTAGGATCATAAGAATGTATTGGGCTCTTCAGGATCAGCCCAGTATTGCAAAATTTTATGCAATGAATAATCTTTTGACTGAAATGTAAGAATATAGAAAGACTTCACCATAATTGGGACCAGCAACTCCACCACTAAGTGACCTATCTGTAAAGTGAAAAATCATGTGACATTTCTCACTTAACAGCAGAACTTTTAGTAGCAGTTGTTAGCAAATCACTTGAGGCCATTAAGCACAACATCATATAATCACAATTTGTGACTTCCTGCCAGTTTCCCCATTGTCTTTGTCAGAAGCCAGTGAAGTTTGCAAATGATGATCACATGACTGCAGAACACTATGGCCATCATAATTGCACATCAGTTGCCAAGTACCTGAATTGGAATTGCACGACCATGAGAATGCTGTGACAGCCACAATTTGAGGACTGGTCATACATCTCTTTGTTCAGCACCATTGTAACTTTGAATAGTTTGATACATTAGTGGTTGCTAAATGAGGACCAGCTATGTATGTGATTCAGCAATGGTAAAGAAAAGTCTTAAAGTCAGGGATTATGCTTTGAGAATTAAAATAAAATTTTAGTGATTGAATATTTGTAGGTTTATAATTGTAAGTTTTTTGTTGAAATATACAGTGTTCTGTTTTTCAGTTTACACATCAAGTGCATATTAGAAATGAGGGACTTATTTAATAAATGCACTGTTCATCTTATAAAGTTACTCTTAACAATTTCACCTTTCTATCCATAGTTTTCAGGGAAAATAAACTAACAGAATTCATGATCAATTCTCTTTTAATTTTCTGGAGAATATTGCTTTGTCTAAATCAAGAAAACATAGTGCTTAGTCAATTTATGACAGCTGAGATCTACAAGTCTTTTAGTGTAAAAGTATAAAGTAAATTATTTGTTTTGTTTTGACAATATATCTAAATATGAAAGTAAACTACAATGTAATAATTATAAAAAAGGGATCATTTACCAATAACAAGTGATAAATACATTATATGCCTTCCAGGTGCAAGTGCTCCATGTCCTGAAAACATAAGGGTGGATTATTGCAAAGATGCTCACCATGAGCAGCTCTTGAAGAGTCCAGAAATTAAGACTGGCTCACAAAGCTGCAACAGAGTTGATATATGACCACGGATGTCCTCTAAATAAATATTGTTTTGGTTCAAACCTGGAACAAACTTCACATTTTTGAAGTTCTGTCAAATTCTTTGAATGGAATTATGTCAGAGCCTGGATGATTTTGGTTGTTTCAGTGAACAGATTCTTGGGCAAATAGGGTAGGACAGTTAAGGCAATAATGTAAAGCACTGCCAAAAGTTCTGAAACCCTATGCATTTTTTCTGTTGTTACCTCAAAACTTTAGAGGCAATGAGATATCATAGGAGTCTGCAGGCAGAGAGAAAAGGTTAGCTCATTGTCTGGTAGATTATGCCACACCCATACCAGGAACACTGCAGAGAGGGAAGAATATTAGTCCTATCCTCTTCCTGTTAGCCACCGATATTAGTTTTTCATCATTCCTTCTCTCACACACCTGAAACCTATGCTCAAATGGGCCTGTTTAATTCATTGTACAGATTAAAAAATATATACAGTGCATATGTTTCAGTTTGGACACAGACCATCGTAAGATGTCACACTGATCAATACAATTACCACTTGCATTTCAAGCTCTAGTCAAATTGTTCAGTATAGTGTACTGTGTACAGTTTGGTGTATAGTGTACAAAGTCATACAATGTAGTTTCAAAAGCCCCTCAGGATAGTCTAATCCTCAGTTATCCTCTCTGCATTCTGAGGTCATTAATGAGTCAGCTTCCACATAAATAGGAATTTTGTCTTTCATATTGTGAGGTTCTTATTACAAAACTAACTCATGCTGAGTTGGAGCAAAATGTATTTAGAAGGGATCTGTAAACATATCTTTTCATTCTGGTTTAGAACTATTTTTGTTCTGAATTTTATTTTTAATTTTATCACTTTTTGATATGTTTTTAGCCATTGTTCAGCATATATTTATGCCAAATAAATACTGTAGAAAGAAATTCTTATTTTCACTTTACACTTTTAAAAACCACTATAAAATAATGGTAAGGACATATGTTAGGGCTAGTAATGTATCCAACTAATAAATTTTGTAGCCTTACCAGTTAAAAATAGGATTTCTCTGGGAAATCACATTTTAAAAAAGTAAAAATAGTATAAAAGGACATTTTTGGAACCTCCACTAATCTGTTGTTTTTAATAAAAATAAAGAGGGGTGCTTTTATACTAATAGTTAACAGTGAAAGCAAGAATCAATCATTTATTATTTATTGAATAATTTGTTGAAATGTAATATTTATTACTGAAAATCAGTAAATGATATAAAATGAAAGATTAGAAATAAATGGAAGCTAGTTACAATTTTGTGAACAAAACTCTTTATTTCTAAGTTTGTGTTTTATTCTTACCTTAAGATTAGCATGCCTTATAATAAAAATAAGACCAAAAAATCATTTTTAAAATTATATGATTTCTTATGATTTTTTACATTTGTTACAGAAAAATGTTAAAGAACTTATGGATTCAAATGGTATCAGAATCCTTGTGGATCTCCTTACTCTGGCCCATCTTCATACAAGCAGGGCAACAGTACCATTCCAAGTATGACTTTTTTTTTAAAGATTTGTATAAATACAAATAAGTGCAAATTCTCATAAAAATGAAAATATTTATCACATTGGAATTAATTTGAAACTGAGTTTGTTCAAAATTGGGATGTTGTTTAATGCATTTTTTAAAGACGGGTTTGACTACTAATTGGCTCATTTAAGATACTTGTCATGTAAAGTTTGTCAGTCCTTCCCTGTGTATATTTTCTTACAAGACAGTGACATTTGTACATATAAATGGCTTCTTAAACTGTAAAATCTATTTTTTCCAGTTACCTGATGCAAAACTTACTTTGCTTTTCTTTTTAAGAGCAATGTTATTGAAGCAGCACCAGATATGAAAAGAGAGAGTGAAAAAGAATGGTATTATGGCAATGCAGAGAAAGAGAGAAGAGGCCCATATAGCTTTAATGAGGTATCTTTCAAGGATTTGTGTTTCATATTGAAAATAATGCAGTGTTGGCTCATAGCCTTGTAATCTTTCTCAGAAAGGAATATGTTTATAAATGGTGAAATCCTATGTGGGTCCTTGGTGCTCTCTGAGCTTGGTGATTTTCTTACATTCATTATTGGCATTGGCATTGTTTCATCACCAAACTAGATAACATGATCAGTGCTAGTAGGCAGGAGCTTTGCTCTGAATTTATATTCTAGTAGCTTGCCCTGTCAGTGTTGGGAATGGTCTTGGTAGTTCTTTGGTTGGGCTGTTTACTGTTAGCATGTTGGGCAGTTCCATGATTGGGATATTAATATGTATTTGATTGGAAATGAGGCAGGAGAACATTTGATTCAGCTATGCCACGAACAACAGCTAAGCATAATGAACACATAATTTAAACAATCCAAATGCCAACTAGACACTTGTATTTCACTAAAATGGAGAACATCAAAACTAAGTCAACTATATATTATGCCAAAAGAAGTGGAAAAGTTCCATCCTCACTGTGAAAACATTTCCTGGCACAAATTGTGGATAAGACTCTGAGCTGTTAGCTGCCAAGGTAAAGTTCAGGTGTTGCAATGTCAAATGACCACCCATGATTCAGAAATTTGACATTGAGAAGATTCCCTGGCATATGCAATTGAAGTTAAGAACAGATTTGAACTGTTCAACATTATAGAAAGATAACCAGATGAGCTATGGGCTAATTGTCACTAAATAGCCCAAGAACATATTACATGCCATCAGTAAAGTAGCCCAATCGTCACTAAAGTAGCCCAAGAACATATTACAAACAAGATACCAACGAAATTGGCCAGATGTGTGTAACAGTATAGACTGCAAAAGAGAGGAAGAAAGCAAAAGCCATTGGTGATGGGGAAGAAATGCAAAGTTCCAGAGAGAGGCAAGAAAAAAATCAAGAAAATTCCTGGGCTGAACAGTGTAAGAAGCTGGAGGAACCAGCCATGAGAGATCATACAAAAGAGTGTTTCACTTATGTGAAGAAGGCCAGAAACCTCTTAGTGGCAAAAAAAAAAAAAAAAAAAGGCTATAGTAATGGGCAGGAATTGCATGACCAATTAGCAATCAGAGAACTATGTTTGCAATATGTAAAACAACTTTACACAAACAAAAAACTTGGCCAAACCATAAGAGGAAAAACTGATTTACCAGAAATGGAATCAGATATCCTGGAAAAGGAACTGGTGTGGGCACTCAACCAGTTGCCTAACCCCAAAGCCCCAGAAGTTGATGGAATTCTTGCAGACCTGCTGAGAACTCTGCCAACAAAAACACTGACAATGCTTTGCCAAAATGTATAGAAGTCTGATCAGTGGCCAGAAGAATGGAAAAGGTTCACATTTATCTCAATATCAAAGAAAGGTGATATGAAAGACTATTCCAACCACTGAACCATAGCCTTGATGCTATTTATGAATAAAATTCTTTTGAAGATAATCTACGAATATTTGAATTCAGTCACCAACAGAGATCTGTTGATGTACAAGCACGATTTCAGTAAGGATGAGGAATGCATGATCATATGCCAAACTACATTGGATGATGGAAAAAATAAAAGAATACCAAAAAGATCTCTACATGTGTTTTATTCATTACACAAAAGCCTTCAACTATGTTGACCATGACAAGCTCTGGAACTGTCTCAAAGAACTGCATTCTGTTGCATCTTGCCATACTATTCAACATGTACACAGAAATATTTATGAGAAATGCACATTTGGAAGACTTTAACCATTGGGGTTAAAATCAGTGGTAGGACTATCAATAACCTCCGATATGTAGATGATATAACATTGCTCATGGAAAGCAAGGAAGATATGGAATGGCTAATCCTGAGTGATGAAAGTGATGAAAGTGAAAAATTTGGATTGCACCTTAACATCAAGAAAACAAAGATAATGACAATGAACATACAGGTCAGAGTGTAAATCAACAATGAGACCATCAAAATAGTAAAGGGATTAATCTTTCTCAACTATAAAATTGACCAAAGTGGTGACAGCAGCCCTGAGATCAGAAGGTGGATAGCCTTTGGAAGAATTGCAATGTCTGGCATGAATAATATCTGGAAGAGTAAAGACATCAGCCTCACAACCAAATGCAGATTTGTTAAAGTAATATTTTTTTTGCAATTGCATCTGCAAAAATAAAAAAAAATCCTAGACTGAACCTCTTGAAGACAAGATTGCCAAACAGAAGCTGCATGCTTTGGTGATGTCATGAGAGCTGTTTCCCTTGAAAAGTCAGTCATGTTAGGAATGATCAGCAGTAAAAGAAGGGGCCATCATAATATCCACTGGCTGGATATATAAAGATGATACCGGGATAACATGGCAGATCTGAAGGAGGCAGTGCGAGGCAGAGCAGCATGGAGAATGCTGATCCATAAGAGTGGTAAGAATCAGACATGACTGAATGGTTGATGATGATGATGTGCTTAGAAGTCAACCCATGAAGTTATCAGAAATAACTAGCGCATGCTATCCGTTTGCATGATGGATTTTCTAAAAAAAAAAAAATCCAGGAGAGTTTCATTATTTTCCTTTCCTTGCGAATGAAAAACAGAACTAGACTCAGGATTGCTATTGCGTTCAGCCTAAGCAATCAGTATTTTTATAGTTGAATTAATTTTTTTCCATATCAGATATTCTAATGAACCTGAATGATAGTCTATTTTTATTCAAATAATTTTGATTTATGACATAATAGAGATTTGTGCTATTTGATTAGTCCTTTAGATTTGTTTTACTGTTTGGTCTTTGGCAAGATAAAGTATTTTTTACATATTTACTTACATAGACTAATATAAATGTAATTTTAACTGTCTTGGATTTATTCATTACTGGTTGCAAAAACTGAACATTTTTCAAACACGTTGTTCCAAAACCAGTATTTATTACAGTATTCAATTTCTAATCAGATGCAGGAATTGTGGATAAAAGGAAAACTGACTTCAAAAACACGCTGCTGGGCCCAAGGCATGGATGGATGGCGACCATTGCAAGTTATTCCTCAGTTGAAATGGTGTCTACTGGCCACTGGACAAGCTGTGCTAAATGAGACAGATCTGGCTACACTTATTCTCAACATGCTTGTCACAATGTGTAGCTATTTTCCCAGTAGGTAAGGAACCTAGATTTCAGACAGTGAAAAACTGTTCAAGAAACCATTCCAAAAAAACAAGTAATTCTTCGCTATACAGGAGATCAACCTCTATAAAACTCATATGTTGAGCTAGTAAAGAGTTTGTTGTAGGAAAAAAACAAGAATGTGAAGCAGAAATGAATGTCTGCTAATTAGCCAAAAGACAATAGAAGCAAATGATTTTGTACTAAATATACTGATTAGAAAAATATATTTATTTTAGAGATCAGGATAATGCTATTATAAGACCTTTACCCAAGGTGAAGAGGCTTCTGTCAGACAACACTTGTCTTCCCCATATCATTCAGGTAAATTGATGTTCCGTCTTACCTTTTAGACATGCTTCCTTTCTTGCTTAATTTTCAACATATTATCCATGTCTATGGGTTTTTTTAACTGGAAGTAATGTTTTGGACAGTAATTGATCAATATTTTAATTTGAAATGAATATTTAACTTTTTTTTCCACTACAGCTTTTGCTGACTTTTGATCCCATTCTTGTTGAGAAAGTTGCCATATTACTCTTTCATATCATGCAAGACAACCCACAGTTACCTCGTCTTTATCTCAGTGGAATATTCTTCTTCATTATGATGTACACTGGTTCCAATGTACTCCCTGTGGCAAGGTAAAAACAAAATTTCCATATTCCTTCTGGGTTAGTTCGAGTAACATGCAATCTAGCAATCCATAAGTCTTTTATTTTTGATTTAGCACAATGTTCAATCCTATATCAGTATGGAAGCCAGACTTTTCTTAACAGTCAAAAGATCCAGCCATTTCCTGCTGATTTTGTCATTTTTTTTACCAGTCCTTAAAAGAAATGAGAAAAATACAGTATAAAATTAGCAAGCCATGAGTACACAAACCAGAATTTATAAATCAGCAGGAACTATAATTTCAAATTGTTTTTTATTGCAAAATGTAAACCATTATTTCTTTCTGACAATAGCTTTACTATCTCTTAGCAATATGTGCAAATCAAGCCACTATATTGTAATGATGGTATGGGGCAATCTGATGATGAGGCATTCCCTAAATAATAAAGTATTTGTTTACTAATAAAAGTTAAAGTTTAGAGCAGGGGTCCCCAACCCTCGGTCCGTGGACCAGTGCTGGGCCACGATATGCCAGCAACTAGGCTGCACAAACAAGCGAAGCCCCATCCGCAAGATGCAGGCAGCACACAAAACTTCTCTCCACCTAACTGATTTCTGGTGCCCAAAAGGTTGGGGACCTCTCAACATTTTTTTCTAGGGAAACCCTTTGAAATAATTATTGATGAACTTCTGCAAAAAAAAAAAAAAAAAAAAAAAAATTCTAATGCTCATGGTATATTAGCATAATCAGTAATATGAATTGAGACATATAAAAATCCCAAGATTTGCAGATCCTCAGATGTGCAAAGTTAGAAAAAACCCTTTTTTAAAATCATGATTTCTTACAGAACCCTAGGACTCTGCAGAAAAGAGAGAAAGGCTAGCTTAATAGAAACATTTAAATTACATAATAATTCATACCATTTAACCATATAAATTTATCTTTTAGGTTTTTGAAGTATACACACTCAAAACAAGCTTTCAAATCTGAAGAGGTAAGATATGTTAGTAGTAAAAACCAACATTTAAAATGTCTGCAGATAAGCCAATCCTAGTATTGTATTACACATTATTTTGGTTATTTTTAGTCTTCTAAATTCTTGAGGATTTTGTTTGCTGCAAACAAAATATTTTTACCTTTTACTAAAAGTACCTACAAAATTGCTCTTTTACTAGTGATTAAATTTATCTATATATTACTAATTGTTTTATAATAAGGAATCTAATTCTTTTTATATAGTGCTCAAATAAACTATTTTGTTAACTTATATTGTCGGAAATCAACAACTCTGAAGAAAGTAAGTTGTTTTGCATTAATGTATTAATGTAGCATACAAACCCATCAAGAAAATAATGCAATTATTGTAATTTAATTATGACATATTAATAGAAAGAAAAACTGAAGAATTATTTGTGTTTAAATATTTAAGCAAAACAAAATTCTGGGAAATGGAAAGAAATTGCTTAGTGGAAGAACAAGCTGGATTTAACCCGGAGCATTCCACAATAGAATGCTTGTTTTATTTTATGCCCTTTGATAACAAAACAACTAATTAATGGCAAGAAACTGTTTACCACCTTTCTAGATCTCAATGCTTCTTTGGACTCTATAAACAGAAACATTTTGTGGAAGAAATTGGCTAACTTAAATATGGAACCCAGATTCTTACTCTTTTTCTTGATTAGGACCTTCTACTCAAACACTCATTTGAAAGCCTGTATAGCTATAACTGCTTTTCTAAGAGCATACCTACCTATAGTGGAGTTAAACACAGTTGTATCCCAAGCCCCACTGCTTTTTAATCTCTGTCAATGTTCAACAATAGTGCAAACATCCATAATAAATTCAGTAATATTCTTCTATATGCTGATGATATGGTTCTAATAGTGCACTCTCAAATTCACGTGAGAAGACTAATGTGAAAGCTAAATACCTGCTGTGCTGTTAATATACTAAATATCAATAAAATCAAATTTAAAGTGATGGTATTTAGCAAAAAAAGTGTGAAATATAATTAGCAGATAAATGAGCCTATTGAACAAGTGAATTCTTTTACTTATTTAAGAGAGGTTTTTACCAACATAGGGATGTGGGTAAATTATTTTAAAAGAAACTCGGCAAGGGTTGAGACAAGTACTAAAAGACTATATAAATTATCCAATAATTATTCAGGTACCTTAATCCCTGTACTGAAAATTTTCAAAACAAAAATAATGTTGACTTATGGTGCAGAATTGTAGGGTCTTACAAAAGCTACCTCATTTGAACAAATTCAGACCTATTTTTTAAAAAGCATCCTAGGAAATGATAAGAATATGTCAGCCCCTGAGGCCACAACAGAATCAGATATCCACTTCATATATAACCAATTCATAATTAAAGATTTTTCATACTGGCAGAAGATCCATTCAATGGACCCTTATAGGCTACCCGATACATGTTTAGTAGAATAAATATAGCTCAGCCAAATTCTTCTAAATTTTCCAAAATTATTTCACAGCATGGGTTTTCCATCCAGTATTTATTCTCAACTGTCTCCCAGGCAAGAGAAATTTTTAGATATAAAGTCCTAGATATCAGTGTTCAAACTGATATATAGTTACTGGTAACAAATAGACATTTAAGTTGTTTAGCTAAGAACAAAACAATTTTTCAATTTGAAAAATACCTGTCAATGAGTCTAACCCAATTCTCAAAAAGGATCTGTTCTAGAGTTGGATTTGAGTTGCTGGAGTCCATGGACAAATATGGACATTTCTATCATCTGCCATATCATAAGTGAACATGTACATTGTGGTGCCTCAGCCCTGAAGATATTGATTGTTTATTGTTTGTCAACTAGATGCCCCTCTCAGAATTTGATACTTAACACTACAATTTGAAAGTACAGCTCACTGAAATCTGTATATTGTAAGCAAAACTGCTAATTTTATAACTAAGGCAGTTGGTCTAAGAACCTGCTATATTGAACAGTTGTAAATATGCAAATATGATGTATTTATCTGAAATATTTATTCTTTATACTTACCACATATATTTTATTACTATATTTTCCTTTTATCTATTTTATCCTGGACATATATCCTGTGTTCTATTTTGCTTTATATTTTTGATACGGTTGTAGGTCATAAGGCTAATCAGTCAATAAACATAAATGAAATTTCAAGTAAATAAAGCTGCAGTTCAGTCATTTCAGATGCTAAATTTCAATTCCTATTGACTAAAATTAAAATCTGGCATAAATGGGGGGCATCATGGTGGAGAAAGCAATTATCTTGCTGCTTTTAAGCCACCTATAGCCACCTTTAGGTAAAATGGGCAGCATTCAGATATAATAAATAAAACATAAATATCTTACACACTTAAGAATAAATTGTACTGAACATCTGCAAAAGTATTCACAATTTTGTTACCAAAAAATAAGCAACTTTTTAATACATATGTTAGCATGTTTATTTACACTTATTTGTGTTCCCGATTTCTTTTTTAGGCAAAAGGTCAAGATATAGTTCAGAGAAGCATTTTGGGACATATCCTCCCAGAGGCAATGGTGTGTTATTTGGAAAACTATGAACCAGAAAAATTTTCTGAAATTTTTTTGGGTGAATTTGATACTCCAGAAGCCATTTGGAGCAATGAAATGAGGTAATTAACGTATCTTGTAAAACATACTTTTTCTCCATTGTATTCCCATAGATAATTGCTGCCTATAATTAAGATAAGATAACCTTTATTGTCATTTTTTTACTGTGGGCACAATGGCACACATCAAAAATGAAATTTAGTTGCCCGCTCTCAAAGTGAAACACATACATGACACACACCTAAACATACTATGTACAACATATGTATAGATCCACACCCCTACATATACATAACAAATAAATATTAAATACTGTCCATCTTGAATATATAACGGAAGGAGGAAGCTTGAGAGTTCACAAGGTTAATGCTGTATGGAATGAAACTCTGGCTGAATCTGAATGTTCTGCTTCGGATACCACGAAGCCTCCTCCCAGAAGGTAACAAGGAAAACAGGTCATGAAGAGGATGTGTAGTGTCCCAGATAATCTTACGGACCCTGCTCAAGCAATGCTTCTCTGCTATGTCCTGGATGGGAGGGAGGAAGCTGCCAATGATCTTTTTGGCCATCTTCACCACTCTCTGCACCGCCTTCCTGTCTGAAGCAATGATACTTCCAAACAAGACTGTGATATTGTATGACAGGATGCTCTCGATCGTCCCCCTGTAGAAAGTGGTCAGGAAAGGGGAAGGAAGATGTGCTTTTCTCATACGACAGAGAAAATACAGGCGCTGCTGAGCCCACTTCACCACTTTCTCACTGTTGAGCGACCAAGCCAGCCTACTCATTAGCTGCACACCCAGGAATTTGATGCTGGTAACCATCTCCACAGGTGAATCATTAATGCACAGAGAAGTGTGGCTGTGCCTTCCTTTTCTGAAATAGACAATGATCTCTTTGGTTTTTTCAGTATTTAAAACTAGACTGTTTTCCTTACACCAGTTCACCAACCCTTCAACCTCCTTGTGGTAAGCTTCCACCTTGTCATCCTGAATAAGGCCCACTACTATTGTATCATCTGCAAACTTCACAATATGATTGGTGGCAAACCTAGCACAACAGTTATGGGTCAACAGGGTGAACAGCAGCGGACTTAGGACTTAATTTATTAAATGTTTTAGCAGCTTGTCACAAAGAAGCAGATTTAATGTCTGATGAGAAAATCAGTGCCTGAAAGAATGTTAATGTTTCTTTGATTAAAGAGATATTTGCAATTTGCAGGCGCCTAATGATAGAGAAGATAGCTGCACACCTTGCTGACTTCACCCCTCGTCTTCAAAGTAATACAAGAGCACTTTACCAGTACTGCCCCATACCAGTTATCAGTTATCCTCAACTGGAAAATGAGTTGTTTTGCAATATTTATTACCTCAAACATCTTTGTGATAAGCTTCGGTTTCCTGATTGGCCAATTAAAGATCCTGTAAGTCAATTTGTGGTCATCTTTCTAATTTCTAACATTGGGGACTTGAGAAATAAATGGAAGTATGCCAAGAAATGTGAGATCCCTATTCTCATAGCTGTCAGGCTCATCATGCTCCAATTGTGACATAAATGTTTATATGTTTAATTTAAATTAGATGACATTGTTCTTTTGCAAATTTCAAATTTGCAAAAAATAAGTAATAAAAGGAAAAATGAGTAATAGTTTTTTCTCTCTATTCTTGAAAATATCTCTTTGAAAGAGCTTTTCTAACCATGTTATCGAAAATTAGCACCATAGCCATTTATCATTCTGAAGAGATGAAAAGTGTAATGTAAGGATCTTTTAAAAGAACTCTCTCCCCAAAACCAGAAAATCCTAGTCCCATCTACTTGTTACCATCACCCTGCCTGTTATGGTTCATATATTCCCCCACCACCACCCCAAATTGTTAAGTAAAGCCACTATCCATAGTTAGAATTATTAGAAGAGTGATTAGTGGATTAAAAGCCCTTACATGGAAAAACTAAATAGAATTCTTCTATATTCAGGTTAAACTCTTAAAAGATACTCTAGAAACCTGGAAGAAGGAAGTTCAGAAGAAGGCACCTACAATGTCCATAGATGATGCTTATGAAGTTCTGAATCTGCCAAAGGGTCAAGGATTGTAAGTTTCTAATTATAAAAAATAATTGAAAGCAACATTCTAAAATGAATGGATTTAAGCCTTTATACTGGTGTCTGAATTCAGCCTAATGTAAAGATTTTGGTGTTATACAAAATGTATAAATCTAATGGATCAGATGAACTATTTCAAAGACTCTGTTGCCAAAATTAAAATTTAAATATATTCTGATATTAACGTAACGTTATAGATGCAAAAGGTAACTACAAATGCATTTTTCCTTCTAACTAACAAACTATTGAATTGCAGGTAGTACATATAATCCTTTCTGTACTTTATAGACACGATGAAAGTAAGATCAGGAAAGCTTATTTTAAACTGGCTCAGAAATACCATCCTGACAAGAATCCAGAAGGTCGGGTAAGTGTCCTATATTAAATATATGTGATGCTTAGAGAAAGTGTTGTGTCCTAATCCAGTAACAGAATGTTTAGTATATTAAGTTTTCCCACTTGCTTTACAAAATAGAGTATATTCATATACACATTCCTTTGTATGTTTTTAGTTCTCTCTTTCATTCAAAATTAACTAACATTTATTAGGCCAATTCAACAATATTATAAACAAGAGTTAGGAAGGAGAATGAAGCTATGGAGAGGCTCTAGTTAGTAGGTCAGATAGTCACATTGAAAAAAATTTTTTAGAATACCAACATTTACTATTTAAGCTTTCCTGTTTCTGTGCTTATGCTGACCTGACTAAATAGGTTTAAAGAAATCTAATCTGAATTGAAGTTGTCATTTCTCTGTTGAATAATTTCCTTGCAGCTCTCCCGCATTTTTGTTCCAAGAAAGTAATGGGCAATTCTTTCTTTCCTGTAGTCAAGTTCTCCTGAAAATATTTTCATACAGGTAGTCCTTGAATTATAACTACAATTGAGCCTGGAACTTTGGCCATAGTTGTATCAGTTGTCAATTTAATCACCATGATACAATTTTACAACTGCTTTTACTAAGGTCATTAAGCGAGTCACATGATTGTTAAGCAAATCACCCATTCATAAATCCAAACCCAGCTTATCAAGTGGGCGTCTTTTGCTGGAAAATGGCAAAAATGTTGCAAAATGCAATAATTAGAGCTGATGGTAAATCTAACTCAATTGAAGGATGTTCCTTTCTATGGAACTCTATGGCCAGTGAGTTGCTGGAGCTAATCTATAAGGATGTAAAGATATCTGGCTAACATATTTTGCATAAGAGGAAAAGACTCTTTCAAACTGCAGCAGGACAAGCATAGGGAGATCAAACTCGAGAGAGGGCTGTGAGTAAAGGCTAAATGTTATCAGAATTAAGATTAGTTCATTTCTGCCCTTAGAAATGGTAGTTACTCTGTTCTGGTATCAGGCAATCAAGTTGTGGACAAGCTCTGAGTTAGGCTGTAGCAAGTACTGTATTTAGTATTTGCATATTGCAAGTTTTTTGACAGAACAATAGTTTGTAGAATAAAAAGTAAAAAATAAATAAAAGAAGGAACAACATTACTGAAAATGATGTGCTATGTATACCTACTCCTAAATAACTTATTTGTTTTGCAACATTATTAAATTTATTTTCAGATAGTATTTATATACATTTCTTTGTCTTTTTTTAAAACTACAGGATATGTTTGAAAAAGTCAATAAAGGTTATGAGTTTCTCTGCACAAAGTCTTCTAAAATTGTTGATGGTCCAGATCCTGAGAATATAATTCTGATTTTGAAAACTCAGAGTATCCTCTTTAACAGACATAGAGAAGGTAATTAGTTCTAGCATCCAATGTTTTAGACATAACTGAGTAGCTATAAAAAAACTAGCAAATATATACTCCCAAAGTTATTAAATCACTTCAGTACTAGAATACTACAATACTTAGGCATCATTAACCATATATAAATAAAATTTCTAGAGTTTCAACTTGTGTTTCGTAGATTTCTTATTTTGTAGCTAATGTATAAATCTTAACATACATCAAACTAAAAATAATGAAAAATATATTCATGCAGTTATGTTAAAGTATTTTAGTCTCAGAGTAATATATCAAATGTATTCTCTCCAAAATAGAGAAGGAACTTGTCAGAAAATGTGAAACTTGATATAAAGGAGAAAACAAGTGATTGTAAAACAGAAGAGCAACTTCAATATTTTTACAAGTACCGTAAATGCCGGCGTATAAGACGACTTCCGCGAGTGCTGAAATCGGCGCCAAAGACGGGGGTCGTCTTATACGCCGGAAATACTGGTAGTTTCCGGCGTATAAGATGAGGTCCTAGGAATGCGGCCCGGCTATAAAGACGGGGGTCGTCTTATACGCCGGGTCGCCTAATATGCCAGCATATACGGTAGTTCAAGTTCCCTCTTTCCCAAAGCAGTGTGTTTCAACCCTATTCTTGCTTGAAAAGCTTTCAGAGCTACCAGAGATCTTTAATGTTATCTCAAACTCTATGTGTATAGTAGATTTTGATGTGGCATATAAGGAAAGAATGAATTCCAGATAATTTTATATGTTTATTAAACTTTCTTTAGTTCTGATTTATGACATTTTCTGAGGAAATATCTTTATTGTTGTTTTAGAAAAGAAAAGCCAGCAAAAGATATTGCATGTTAGGGTTTTCAGTAAGATTCTAGGGGTCTAAAATATTATAGCAGTCATATGTTAAAAATCAGAGAAGTATAACTTGCAGCATAGAATACTAACTTCAAAGATTTCATTGCAGATATTGATTTCTGACATTCTGTTCTTTTCAGATTTGAAGCCATATAAGTATGCGGGCTATCCCATGTTGATTAAGACAATCACGATAGAAACTTCAGATAACCTCTTGTTTTCCAAAGAGTCTCCTCTGTTGCCAGCTGCTGCTGAATTAGCCTTCCACACAGTAAATTGTTCAGCACTTAATGCAGAAGAATTAAGAAGAGAGAATGGAATAGAGGTACATTCAAACTTACTAATATAAGTTTTTGTTGTATTATATTCTTCAAAGGGGAGAAATGGATTTTAAGTATGATTATTACTAAATATTTTCAGGAATATTAATTTGCTCATACAGGCACCATGTTATAAATACAAAATTTTTAACATAAAACTGCCTTTGAGTTTCGACAAGCAGAAGAAATTTTAAAACTCTGCTGTTTTGACTTCACATTGTAGAATAATAGAAGTGGTTATGAGCAAATAAATATTTGGGCTATTAAATCTCAGGTTGTCGCAGAAATAGACATCATAATACCTTCAAGTATTCTTCATCTGCCATAAATCCTTGCCTCTGCTGCTGCTGGCTGATATGAATGGGATTTGGTATGGAAATACTAGATTGTCTACAGTTGTATTACAGCTTTAAAATATTGTTCAAAGTTGATAGACATAGCTTTCTATGACCAAATTTGATAGTTTTCCATTTGGCAATCTACCAAACAAATGTCATCCATCCTTACAGGTTTTGCAAAAAGCTTTTAATCGTTGTGTTGCAGTCTTGACACGTTCCAGTAAGCCAGAGGATATGTCAGTCCAGGTAATTCTTAAAGAAATCCTGTCATGCACACTGGTATAAGATCTAAAATATAAATAAAGTATACAAGAAACTGCAAAGATAGATTAGAACAGCAGTCCATTTTGTACATAATTGTCTAATGCTATCTAATCCACAATTTTTATCTTACCAAATAGCAGGTTGTGGTCCACTTTGTTAAATATCTTACTAAAGTCCAAATATATTATGTCCGTAACATTTCGCTGGTCAGTTTGTCAAAGAATGCAATAACATTTATCTGACAAACCCATGTTGGCTTTGGCAACTTGGCAACTTTGTTTACCTCTAAGTGTTGGCAGATTTGTTATTTTCCCAGAATCTTCTCTGGTATTGATGTTAGGTTGATTGGTCTTTCGTTTCCTGGACTCATTTCTTTTCCCTTTTTTGATGATGGGAATTATGTTAGCTCTTTTCCAGCTTCTGGACTGGAAAACCATTCTATAGAAACTCAGAGTTGTGACTATCTTATTCCAAATGTTCCTTCTATATGATCTAGGGCCCTAAGAAAAAGGGACTTTTAGATATGAAAATAATTATTGAAAAAAGAATCTACAAGCCAGACAACTGTTAAAATGAGCGGGAATACAGAAAATTAAAACAAAAAGTGACCAGTCAACTCCTTTAAGCCTCAAATTAAAAACCAGGATGTATGAAACTAATAATATAAAAATATATAAATAATGTACAGTTGGTCCTCGACTTACCACAATTGAGCACAAAATTCATGTTGCTAAGTGAAACAATTGTTAAGTGAATTTTGCTTATTATACAACCGTTCCTATTAGAGTTGTTAAATGTTGTTAAGTTAGTAGCATGGTTGTTCAGTAAATATGGTTTCTCCATTGACTTTGCTTGTCAGAAGGTCACAAAATCTAATTACATGACCCAGGACATGGCAACAGTCACATATGTGAACTAATTACCAAACATCTGAATTTTGATCATGTGACCATCAAGATGTTGCAATGGTCATGTGTGAAAAACAGTCATAAATCACTTTTTTAGTGCTGCTGTAACTTCGAACTGTCATTAAATGAATGGTTGTAAGTCAAGAACTACCTATATATTTGTTCTCATTGGAAAAGCACTGGTTGGATCCAAATTTAGTCCCATTTACTGAGATAGAAACTGAAAGTTAATGGAGCTTACAGTGTCCATCAGGCTCTTGATTTTTTTTTTTTTCTATTCATAGGTCTGTGGACACATTAGTAAATGCTACAGCGTGGCTGCTCAGTTTGAAGATTGCAGAGAGAAAATTACTGAAATGCCCAATATTATTAAGGACCTCTGCAGAGTGCTGTTTTATGGCAAGGTAAACTCATACTTGGCAGCTGTGTTAAAGAGTTTCTCCAACTCTTTCAGAATAGTTCCTATATAATATGGATGCTATGTAATTTTATGAGAGAATCTCATTCAAAAGAGATTCATATTTCTTAACATGTGAAGAAGATATTTTTGTTTTAGCCTGCTAAACTAATTTTGTTGAACATAGTAAGCTTCTGGCATCAGCAGACCATTTGTTTATCATATTGCACTTTAATTATACTGTTATATATTATAGTATGCTATAATATAAGCAATTATACTGTAAGAAGTATGGGGGGGAAGCAGAAATGTGTAAGTCACTGTGGCATTTTACATTAGTAGATCTCTTGATTAATTCCTACTAAATTTCAACATTGTCACTAAAATCCCCAAACAAATGTGTTTATTCTTGTTTAGAACATTCCACGTGTGGCTTCAATTGGAGTAGAATGTGTCAGCTCATTTGCTGTGGATTATTGGCTACAGACGCATCTGTTCCAAGCTGGCGTTCTGTGGTATTTATTAGGCTACCTCTTTAACTATGATTATACACTGGAAGAGAGTGGCATTAAAAAGAGTGAAGACTCTAATCAGCAGGTAATCATTATGCATTACTAATAGACTGCTAATTTTTTAAAATAATGAAATGCTACATTTTAAATTAACTAAAAAATGTTTCTAGCATGCTCTTAGGAATGTACAGATTAATTTTAAATCCTTACAGGATTGTTGAATGTGCCTTTAAATAAACCCTTCAGTGTGTATTGTGGCTTTTACATAAACAATTGAAGAAGAACTCTGAATGAATGAATGACTGACTGACTGAATGAATGAATGAATATCTTAGTACTCAGTGTTCTCCTTCTGTTGGCTCAGAGTATAGTAATAAAATTTGAAAATTTCTTCTGCTTCAAGAGAGACATAGCCAATTCAAGCAAGATTTTTCTCTCCTCCTCCTGAAAGGAAATATACATTAATTTAGAGCTTTCATCAACTTTTTAATCTGTGCTTAGAAAAACAATTCCGTCACCAAGGGTCCTACATTGATCCTAATAAGATAGACAGTTTACAGTCCAGTAGCCTGTGAGGTACAGCATTTTCAGATTTAATCACAAACATGGCTCATTTCATCAGCGAGCACTATTTTAATAAAAGTGCCAGCCACCACCGTACCAGTCTCTTGACAATAGAGGTAATCCTCACTTAATTACATTCATTCAGCAACTGATTGGAATTATGACAGCACTAAATGAAGGGACTTACATCCAGTCTTTAAAGTTTCAACCATTGAAGCTTCTCCATGGTAACATAAGAAAAGCCGGGCTCATCTACATTTAGGATCACTTCCCCCACCCATTTCCGGCTGATCTTCATTCTTGACTTTGCCTTCCCTCCACTGGACTCACTATCCTAGCCGTGCACATGAGAAACTCTCCACAGGCCAGCGAGTGAGAGCTATGAGTCGATGTGTGTGTACCGCACTATGCACCACTATTGGCCAGGACCTCCTTTTAAATGCCAGCCAGGGCCTCCTTTTATGTCTGAACACTGGAACAAAAGGAAGACCCAGATGGCATGCAAAAGGATGTCCTTTCATGCTGGTACAGCCAAGTTCTTCTTTCACAAAAGGAGGCCTTGGTTGGCACACAAAAGAGGGTCCTGTTCACCTTGGTACAAAAGAAGGTGATATGAAAAAAGATGCTAGCAGGTATGGTTTGTAGGGCAGTTGGAGCAACTAATAGTGGTGGGTAGGTGGGCAGTCAAAAGAACAGAGATGGAGAGATAGGTGGATAAGGAGAATTGAATGGAGATAGTTCCTTATCTTCTTCCAAAAATGGTTTGGGTCTGGGTAAATCATTATCTAATGACCACAAGGGATTCACTCAGATTACCAGAATTGCCATTGCTAAGCAAAGTGGTTATATGATGTTTCACTTAGCAACAACATCATTTAGCAATGGAATTATCAGTCCCAATTAGGATTGTTAAGTGAGGATTACTTGTAACCTACAGGAATTATGTTTCCTGGAAGATTTAGAAAGGATTCAGAAATTCAAGATTCAAATGACAGTCACAAAATACAATGATTTAGAAACCTTGGGTTTTGCATAAGCATATTAAAAGAGGATAATCCTGAAAAACGTAAATTATCATGCTGCTTCTTCAGCTTGAAAACCCTCATATACTACCAGCAAAGGAGTCTTATAACTTACCATGAAGGTTGGATGATATGTGAAGCTTCTTGGTTGTGATCCGAAGCTGTTCCTCCTTATCAATATCATATTTTATTTCTATGTAGATCTTTACCAAAGAGTCATGGAAATTTTGCAGAAAGGGGCATTCCAGTTCCTATTTCTTTCCATTGTTCCTTCAGAAAAGCTTTCATTTATTCATTTAGGAAGATTCTCCTGAATAGTGAGAGTAGACATAGACTAAATGGCAATTGCCAGAATTGATAAGATTAAAGCTTTGTTTCTTTTGCATCTATATTCTTTCTGTAAAGAGAGAAGATGATATTAGAATAGATAACAAGTGTTGGATTTATTTGTATTTTTGGTTAATAGGAAGTAGCTAATACTCTTGCCAAACTCAGTCTCCTTGCTTTGAGTCGGCTTGGTGGATACCTTTCTGAAGAGCAAACTACACCTGAGAATCCAGCAATCAGAAAAAGTCTTGGAGTCCTGCTGACCCCTTACATTACAAGGAAACTTGCTGTGGTCAGTCCTGCTGAGGTACATGAAAAGTGTAACATAGTGTTTTTGTTTTTATTGCACCATGTTACTAAAATATATAGTGTGTTCAGTTTTAATAGTGACAGGATATAAAATATTCAATCATAACAGTATTAGAAAATAAATCTTGTAGTTTTCAGTATATTAGCTTCTGTAATTACTCAAGATATTTGAAAAATGTAGGAATTTGTTTCACTCTGCCTTTTTAATATGTCCCATGTTCTTTTTGGTCAGGTCCTAATAGAGAGTTGTTAATTCTAAAGGTTTCATCACAGCTTCCGTCGGCCACATGAAACTTATTTGAAATAGTCTTGAGTGCTACATATGGTAAATGAATGTACTGCAGATTGAATCACATTATGTATACATTGCTGTCACATTGCTTGAGTGCTCCTAGTGGAAACCAAACATTCACAATAGAGATTTGAATTATTGAATTTGAAGTCAACCTCTATGGCAAGACAGTACAAGTTTTCTGTTTCAATTTTTTGTCTGCTTAAATGGAGTCACCTCTATTTTATTTCCAAAAAGAATAACATATTAAATAGTTAAACTGAGAAAAATACTTGACCCAAAATTATCCAATAAGTTCTGTAGTTGAGAGAGGTCCAACTATCAGCATCCAATTCCTTAGAACCAAAACTAACAGTAATCTTCAAAGTGTGTTTAATACTGTATTAGGCTTATCAAAAAGCAGCTATTGTGCGAAGAGGAAAGAGTTATTAATATTTTTACATATTATTAATCCTAAAGGATTTCTGACATTTCACAAATATACCATTAAACATGCATAATCCAATTAAATCAACATAGAATACAAATTATTTAAACAACCAGTCTGTAATACCTAGACAAGATAGTATCACAGCCTAAATGCCTTCTGGAAACACTTCATTTTGAGCTGTTTTCAGAAAGCAGTGAGAAGGGCAGCTGACCTAATGTCCACTGGGAGGCCATTCCAAGAACTGGGATTGCTCCTGAAAAATAGTGCCTCCACAGCCTTCCTCACCTCCCTAAAATTGGGAACTACTAATGGCTTCTCTAAGCTGTATCAAATTGGCCAGACAGTTCTAATGGGAGAATGGAGCTTTGCAGACCGGTTGGCTCCAAGCCATGTAGGGCTTTGTAAATTAGCACTAGAACTTTGAATTACATCATTGACAACCAGCACCAGAACTTTGAATTACACTGTTGACAACCGGTGAAGAGTCTATATGCTAATGTTATGTGCTCTCATCAGTAAATGCTGGTCAATAGACAAGTTGCCAGACTTTGAATCATTTGAAGTTTCTGACTTGCAATATAAAGGGCAATATAAAGCTATGTGAAGGGCAATATAAAGGCAATATAAAGCTATGTGAAGAAACAGCTGCTGATCCAAGAGAACACCCAAGTTACAGATTTGTTCCTTTTCTATTTCCTTTACTTTTCATGAGCCACCACTGCAGCATGCAGAGAATGGTGGTGAATATACAGTTACTCCATCTTGCTCCAGACCTTTTCAGTCTGCAGGGACAGGGCTTTAGATCATCAGCCCAGTCCGACTGGTGATATAAATCAGCATATTGCAACTTATTGGTGATAGTGGACTTCAAACTGCCGAACCACGTCTCTTTGTGGCTTCATGCAAATGTTAAATAGGAGTAAGGAAAAGACTGACTACTGAACCCAACTCTCCTTCACCCCAGGACTAAAACCAGTTACTGAGGAAAGAGCAGAAACACTGTGACCTCCAGTCCCCAACATTGTTCCCATGCAGGTGATCCAGAAGGATACTATGGTTGATAGTATCAATTTTCTTACCTTCAATATGTTTTTTAATTAAATATTTTTATATAGATTCTGAAAATGCTCAACAGCAACACAGAGAGCCCTTACCTGATATGGAATAATCGGACAAGAGTTGAACTCCTTGAATTCTTGGAATCTCAGCAGGAAAGCATGATTAAAACAGTGAGGCACTTGTTCAAAATTGTTAGGATCGCATGTTGGGGGATTAAGTTATATACTGTAAGGTGCATTTGCAGGTTATTGTTGCTGCTTTTTCTAGAATGAGTAAATTATTTTCAGATGTACTGGGCTATAATGTATATTAATTGCTTTAATATGAAAACATTTTGTGAAAAACATCTTGAGTTTTTCAATGTTTTTGCTCAACAAAATAATATATCTGAATTTGTTGAACATGATCATATGTTTTTATCAATATTTTTATGACACACACACGTATTAATATACAATGAAACTTTCATTTAGTAGACAAATGAATTTTGAATGCAGCAAATCGGTCTGTCCAAACATCTTGAAATAATAAAAAGGTTCCATCCAAAATAACTTGGAAAAAGCATTTAAATCTGACGTCATATACAGCAATTTTCATGATTTGCATAATGACATTATTACATGCATGGCATAAATGCCAATCAGTGATTCATTTCACAAATGCAGTAAACGGCATAATTTATGATTTAATTAACTAATTTGGGAATAGATTCATTTTCCACCAATTGATCTGTTAAATTGAAGTTTCACTACACTTATTGTATAGTTTAAATGTTGGTATTTTTGTTTGTCTTCCAATATCTACATTCAAGAGTAATAGAGATGGACATATCTCCTATTTTCATCTGTCTACCATGCTAGCCTCTTAAGAAGTAAACTAAAATAAGATTCTGAACTCAACTGCAGGGAGTCCTCAACGTACAACCACAATTGGTATTGGAAGTCATAAGTCAAGGCACTGGACCCAATTTTACAACTGTTTTTATGACGTTCATTATGTAAATAATGTGACCATAAGTCTGAATCACATGATTGTTAAGCAAATGACACAGTCATAAATACAAACCCATTCTCTGAATGGATGCTTTTTGCCAGATATCAATAAAACCGGTTTTCACGATGCTGCAGTCATAAATGTGAACTGGTTGCCAAGCACTCAAAATACTGGGGGGGGGGAGAAGGCTGTTCAACATGTTATGATGTCCATAAGTGCTTTATGGCAAGACACCAGTCATTAAATAACTGGTCATAAGTCAAGGACTAGTTATATCATTTTCATAATTTCAGATATATTTATAATAGAGTTTGTGCTGCTTTTAAATCAATTTTCATTTAAGATTTCTCTTTACAGCAACCAGTAAATTATTTTAAGAGTATAATTTATTGAGTGCAAATTCTGAGATAATGTTTTTATTTCTAAAGGGTGAATGTGACAAAAGCTATGGATCTGAATTTGTCTTCAGTGATCATGCAAAAGAACTTATTGTAGGGGAGATTTTTGTTAGAGTTTATAATGAAGTTCCCACATTCCAGTTAGAGGTAAGATTCGGTTTTTACTTTAGGTTTAAAATAGAGATGTTGATAAACAAATATTTATAGGAATCACATATTTCAGAACAAGCAAAGGTAACCTAGTAATTTTGATATTTAATTCCTGTCAGCCATAATTTGCATGATATATGGCAGTGGTGGCGAACCTATGGCACGGGTGCCAGAGGCAGCACTCAGAGCCCTCTCTGTGGGCACACGCACCGTCGCCTCAGTCCTAGGGTTTTATAAAACCTTTTTGCTTTAGGCCTCTGCTGCCGTGTACAAAAAAAAAAAAGATTCAATCAATCAGTCAATTTCAATTTCTTCCGGGAACAAAAAAGATCTTGCAGAGTTGGAATTAATTGATTGAACTTTTTAGTCCCACCCAGTCTGCTGTTAGCATTGCAGCCACACCCATCCAATGGGCCATGCCCATCCGGTACCCAACGATGCATAAGTGTGTTTTGGGATGCAGTTTGGGCATTGCAGCCACACCCATCCAATGGGCCATGCCCATCCGGTACCCAACGATGCATAAGTGTGTTTTGGGATGCAGTTTGGGCACTCGGTCTCTAAAAGGTTCGCCATCATTGTTATATGGGATTAATGCTTCCAAATGTTTGGTGAATACCATTTTGATTATTTATATAATCAATTTATATATAAAAACCATTTGGTTGTCTAATAAAGTTGAGAAAGGATAGTAGTCTACTATAAAAATGTTTATTTATGCCTTAATTCAATTTGTGTAAAGTTTTAAAAATATGTTTTCTTTTTATTTACCTACTGAAATTTCTTGATTCTTTTATTATCCTGCAGCTTCCAAAAGCATTTGCTGCCAGCCTTTTGGATTTTATAGGGTCACAAGCCCAGTATCTTTATACGTTAATGGCCATAACTCAGACAGGGAAAGTTGAGTCTAACCAACATGGAGAGCGACTCAGAAGAGTTGAAATGGCTCTGGAAGCTCTGAGAAACGTGATAAAGCACAACCCAGGTAAATGAGGCATGAGGCATTTTTTAACAGGTGTGTGTGTGTGTGTGTGTGTGTGTGTGTGTGTGTGTACATCAGATGCATATATATATGCATACTCTCTTTAAAAACAATCTGGGAATTTAAATGCAAACTCATTCATACATCTTATAAATAAATTACAATAAATGTCCAATTTTAATGAAGTCTTTAAAAACTGTTTATTAAAAATTCATTTTTTTTATTTATGTAGGTTCAGAATGTGTATGCATAGGTCACTTTAAGCTATTATTTTCCCTTCTACGTGTCCATGGAGCTGGTCAGGTGCAACAGTTGGCTCTGGAGGTATAGTAATTATCACTGTTACCATTTTTTAAATGTTATAGAGTCTTGATTATATTTTGTTGTTTAGCCTTCATCAGCTTAGTTCCTCCAGCATAATGAAGTACAACTTTTGTGTTAGAGCATTAGATTGGAGAGTGGTGACATTAATGAACCAACGTTATGCTGTGTATGAAACCATTTCTGAAATCTAGTTTTGTAGCTTGGTGATGGAATGCTAGATACTAAAAAAAATAATACAAATAATTATATATTTCAAATGTTTGTACATTGGCTACTTCAGGGTTGAGCTGCTTTTTTCTTTTACAGGCCATACTTTTTATTGTTTCAAAGATCACTTTTGAGGGCTTAATGAGTCAGTAGAACAGAATAGTCAGGTCAGCCTTGGCAACAGCAAAATTTTATTTTCTTCCTATCTCCTATGTTAATTAAGACTTAATTTGTCTTTAATGATATATTTGGCTATTGAAGTATTCTGCTTGTTTCCTTTTTCATTGTTTTTTTATTTTTTTTATTATTTTATTTCTCTTTTGTCTACATTCTCTTTACTTCTTTCATTTTATTGTTATAAGCCATCTAGAGTAGCCCCACAATGAGATAGCAGTAAATAAACTTAACAAACACAGGTAGTTCTCGACTTATGATCACAATTAAGCTCAAAATTTGCTAAGCAAACATTTGTTAAATGTTTTTGCCCCATTTTATGACTTGACTTGACACAGTTGTTAAATGAATCATTGCAGTTGTTAAGTGAATCTGACTTCCCCATTGAGTTGCTTGTCAGAAGGTCACAAAAGGTGATCACATATCCCTGTAACACTGCAATTGTCATAAATATAAATTAGTTGTCAAATGTCAGAATTTTGATCATATAATCTTGGGGATGCTGCAATAGTTGTGTGAAAAATAGTCATATGTCAGTGCCATTATCATTTCAAAGAGTCACTAAACAAACTTGTTAATCAAGGACTATTTGTAATAATAATGTAATACTAAATTGAATTTATTATTAATTTTTGATTAATTGGAATAGGCTACAAGACAGGAAGCAAGCAAATTGAAACAAAAATGTAAATTCAGTTGGAGATTTGCTATGGTTGAAGAAGAAGCATTTTTCTTGCCATACAAATTCATCTTTAAAATTCAGAATATATTTTTCAGCATATATTCCATATTTGTTCTAGACTCATCCAAATTAGGCTAAATTTTGCTAATCTAGTTTTGTTTTCTTTAATAGGTGGTGAACATAGTGACAAGTAACCAAGATTGTGTAAATAATATTGCAGAAGCAATGGTTCTTTCCAACTTACTAGCTCTCCTGCATTCATTACCTTCAAGTATGTGGATCACATTTTAATTTATTGAGATTCTCTCTTGTTTGCTCTTTAGCTAAATAGTACAAAAAGAGGAATTTTTAGATACAAATTTTTTTAAAAAAAAAAACCAAATATTTCTGTCTTGAGGAGTATACTGACCTTAGCTTGTGTTATTTTATCTAAGAATGATACAAACTCAATTTAGAAAGGCATATATATTTGTCTTTTAAGGCTAACTCTTGGAACATTTAATAGCAAGTGTTACATCATACTGTAGCTGACCATATATTAACCTAGTCAAATAGTCCTCAGGTCAAACATATTCTTGGCAACAGTATGAAAGCTCTTTGTTATTACCTTCAGTCAGGATGGTTTGGTTTTTTTTCTCCTATTTTCCAATCTAGAGTTTGGCCTTCCATCTAGATAATAATCAGGTGTAGACTGTACTTATCTTTTTGAGATTAGCCAAGGTTGGCTAAGTATTACTGCCTGCTGGAAAATCTCATAAAATACTGATAATTAGATAATTAAGAAGAAGGCATAAGGGATATTTTTGCTAGATTAATTACTACTGTCATACTTTTGACAGAAAAGCAGCTGCTGAATTTTGGATAGTCACAGAGCTATAATGTCTTCCTTAATAGATGCACATTAGATACAGAAAGAATTCAGTTGAATTAGTAAGATTGCAGAAAAGATATAACATAAAAGTTAATTATTCTAGTTGCTATAGAACAGTATATTCTTGAAATAAAATCTGAGATTGATGTTCATCTGTGAAATGCCTTATGTATAACAAAAAAATAGGAAATCCTGCAAACCCTGTTGTATTCTCTTAGTCTATGTCAAATAGCTAACTATAAGGTTTCACAAATTTGTTAATTTTGGCAGGTCGGCAGCTAGTTCTTGAAACTCTGTATGCTTTGACATCTAGTACCAAAATAGTTAAAGAAGCTATGCTAAAAGGTATGACACATTGTTTGCTGTGGTATTATTACAATTTTTGTTGAATTCAAAATTAATAGCTCCAAACTTCCTGTAATTAGAAATATTAAAAGTTCTGTACTTTTTTAGGTGCATTAATCTATTTACTTGATATGTTCTGTAATTCAACACATCCACAAGTTCGATCTCAGACAGCAGAGCTTTTTGCTAAAATGACAACAGACAAGCTGGTTGGTCCAAAGGTAAGTATAGATAGCATCATCAGCAGATGTTTCACAGATGTTTTAAAAGCAACCCAAGATATGCATACCATATAGTGTATACATAATGTCTTGGATTTGACTTGAAATAAACTTCTCATAAATTTATTTATTTATTTATTTATTTATTTATGAGACTTATATACCGCTTTAAGTGCAAGCACTCTCTAAGCGGCGTACACCAGTAAGTGCAAGCACTCTCTAAGCGGTGTACATTGCCCCCAACAATCTGGGTCCTCATTTTACCTACCCCGGAAGGATGGAAGGCTGAGTCAACCTTGAGCCGGTGAGATTTGAACCGCTGACCTGCTGAACACAATCAGCTAAAGTGGCCTGCAGTACTGCACTCTAACTGCTGCGCCACCTCGGCTCATATATGTTGGACTCTTGTAGGACTTGAAATAATTTAATTGGATGGCCAGAAATAAATGGCAGGCACATGAGCTTATCTTCCAATTGCACTATGAGGAAGGCATCTCTTCTAGTAATTTATTTTTTTAAAAAAACTTATTTTGCTTCATTCCACTATACAGTCCACTTGTTCGATTAACTGGAACACTAATAGCTATGACAAATGTGTAAACTCTGTGTCTGTATGTGTATGTTTTTCCACTTAGGTTAGAATTATCCTAATGAAATTTCTACCTGGTGTCTTCATGGATGCTATGAGAGATAATCCTGAAGCTGCTGTTCACATTTTTGAAGGGACACATGAAAATCCAGAGTTAATATGGAATGACAATTCCAGAGAGAAAGTATCTACGACCGTTCGTGAAATGATGCTGGAGTATGTCACAATAAAAATAATTTCTCCACTTTCTACTTAGATTTTTTTATACGGTTTAGCCAAGCTTTGATTCAATTTTAGAATCTTCTAGAAATGCAGACTAAAATCTAATATCATGCAAACAGTGGATATAAAAACTTTACTCATCCCTATTAAAATGCCAGGTTTTTGAGATGTAAAAATCATCTGATTTTTGACCAAGATAAATCACCTCAGATTTTTTTCAGCATTTAATGTGACATATAAGTTAAATTGATAAACAACTCTCTTTAGGGGATAAAATAACAATAAATCAAATACAATAATGTGGTTGCATAAATGTACACACCCTCTTATAAGTAGTTCAGAATTAATTCTGATATTTGATAGTCAGTATACACCTCCCATCAATCTGATCAAACCCATATAACGTTCAGCGGTTCTAGTAGGATTTTTCTGATATTTACTCAGCTACCTCTTGCAGCAAAAGCCATACAAAGAGTTTACAAAATAATAAAAGAATCTCACTGTTGGAAGGTATTGATTAGAAGAAGAGTACAAAAAAAAATTCCAAAGCATTGGATATACAATAGAACACAGCGATGATAATCATCATGAAGTGGAGAAAATACGGCACAACAGTGACATTCTCAAGAATTGAATGTCCCTCCAAATTTTTCTTTCTTTTTTTGGAAACTTTTTAGTTTATTCAAAAAAAGATTAAAATACAATACACCAAAATATTTAAAAAAGGACAAAAGAATAAAAACACAAAAAAGACATTTAAAAAAAGCCCAAATAATAACCTCAATTGGTCTCAGATCAAATATCCACATTTGTTTCTTCTCTTACCAATTGCTGATTGAATACAGTAAGTCCAATATCCAAAGCCAATCTATCTTCCTCAAGAAAACCAGATAAAATAATTCCTCAGTTAGATGTATTAGATCCATTTCCCATTCTCCTTTAAACCCCCCCTTTTTAAAAAAAATATTTACCACTTGTCCACCCAAAGAGTTCTCTGCTAATAAAAGCACAATGTTAAGCTTCTGAAAGGTATATGGAGTCAGCTCTATTATTTCTGATTCTATATTTCTTTACAGCCAGTTTACAGCTGGGAAACCACATTTTATCTCAATGTTTTCCACTGTCTGTGTTACTTCCGTTTCTACATTTCTTCTCAACAAATCTGCTACTTTGAAAACAATTTCTTCTTGTAGATTTAAAATATTTAATGTCTGTTTTTTTAATTTTTGATCTTTATAAGTTCATCAAACCTCTTAGAAATAACTCAACTAAAGGTTGCATGTTGCTAGCCTGACTCTTTCAGAAAAATTAATATTTTTCCCTCTTTTTAAAGGCACTTTAAACTGCAGAGGGACAACCCTGATATCAACTGGAAGGTAAAAAATATCTTAACATACATGTAATTAAAATCTTTACATTTTGTTTTATGTTGTTGCTTGTGTCTGTCCATTTTCATTCTGTGCAAATTTTCTTTCATTGCCTGCTTTGATTGTCATATTGGGACTATGTGAACTATGTTTCCTAAAGCTGGTACACTCAAAATACATCAGTGTGCAACTCTTATTTCTAGCTAATATGATTATTTGCAGGGCAATATTGGGGAAGTAGAAACAGTATATTTTAGATTGATTGCTTCAGAACAGCATTTTAGCAGGTATGATATATTAAATAGGTAAGCTGGAGGTCCTCTCTTCCCTAATCACCAGCTATCCAGGCTAGGCGCAAACTGTCCATTATAGATTTCCTATTCAGTGATAAGATTTGCAAAGTAATTTAGTAGGTATGCTTGGTTTCAGTTATGAATAAGTCTTTATGCTAGATATTCTAATTTTCTTCCTTTTGCTCATAAGGAATAAATAAAAAATAGCTGAAACTTTATGTCAGAGAAGCAGAATAACTTTTTTTCTTCTTTTTTGGGTTGATTTAGTTGCCTGAGGACTTTGCTGTAGTATATGGTGAAGCAGAGGGTGAACTTTCTGTAGGGGGTGTCTTCCTAAGAATCTTTATTGACCAGCCGGCCTGGGTCCTACGGAAACCTAGAGAATTTCTCATTGCCCTATTAGAAAAATTCACTGAACTACTGGAGAAGAATAATCCCCATGTAAGTTTAGTTTCCAAGTTTAACTTCAGCTTTGTGTAATTGTTAATTTAAATTTTTGAAAATGGTAATAGAATCCTTCTCAGTTATGGAAGAAGAAATAAATTTGAATTTTTATACTCACTTATACTCATTATTTTAAAATTGAGTATTTCTGTTAATAGCAGCATTCACTGAGGTAAACTTACATAAGAGTTAATAAAATTTTACTTTTGAACAAATCTGTTAGCTTTTTTATTCTTCTGGTAATAGAATATTTTATACTGACAGTTGAAAATGATAAAAGGCATTAATATAGATTGAAATCAGTGAAGCCTATGAAAATAGTTTTTCAAATGTCTAAAATAAATTAGCAGCAGTACATCATGGAATGTATGCATAATTGATTCATTATTCATAACAACTTGTATACATACAATAAAAAGTATTTATACAGCTTGGACTTTCTCCAAGGTAAGTTTCAAACCCTGAAAACTACCTGGAAGTATAGTTTGATCAATAAGGGAAGCTATGTTGTGAATACAGTTTTAAAATTCCATTCATGTAATTTGTGAGTACCATTCAATCATATTTTTCAATCTGATTAACATGATTAAAGTTTAACCTGGTTGGTGTACCATTGTATAATTTACTTCCTTTGTGTTTTGAAATAGGGGGAAACTTTGGAAACAATAACAACAGCAACTATATGCCTCTTTAATGCTCAGCCTCAGCTAGCAGACCAGGTCCCTCCACTGGGTCATCTTCCCAAGATTCTCCAAGCTATGAATCATAAGAATAATGCTATTCCTAAAAGTGCTATGCGAGTGATACACATACTATCTGATAATGAGGTATGCAGCCTTAAGTCACCATAAAAGGTGTATGTTTGTCAGTTGGCCTTCTACGACGAGAGGGTCACTCTTTCCTTACAGTTATCTCTTTTGAGTTGTTGTGTGTCTCTCATATATAAATTAGGTAATCCATCTTTGTGCTGATACAGTTACTGGGCATACTAACCTGGTTGAATACAAAATAAATAGTACGAATACATTGAGATGCCACACATATGAGGGTATCAATATGGCAATTTTTTTGAAGGCAGGTTTTTAAATATCACTACTCATGTCCTTTTACCTGCGTCTATTCAGTGATTGTAGTACCAACAGTCAATTACTTATTGCAGATAAACAGGCAGAGCCAAGGGACATAATTAAATGAATTATCAGCCCACAGTTGTTATGTTCCAGTATTAATTGACTAAATTTTTATATATAGGCTTGAACAATAAATCTTCTTAATTGCAACATAACATATTCTGTTTCTTTGTGCTTGATATTAATCTAGTCAACTAATGTTCAGTGCTAAATTGACAGTAGATAATGGTCAATGGAATTCAAGAGGAGTTGGACTTAAGACAGTTTGTGGGAAAGTAACAATTTTAGGTTGATACTTTTTTAATTCCACTTTCCTGGTTTTCTCTGTTTATCTTCTCTACTTATTCTAGTTAGTAGAGTGCAAGCAAGCTTTCTTCATGAACAGGCTGAAAAGGAATATAGAACAAAGCTCTTAAGATTGTTTCTGATATTTCACATGGATTTTCTGTTGAACTCTCTTTGAATCCTCAGTCAGGAATTCAAAGAAATCTTTAACTTGGGTAGATGCAAGATATTAATATTTGGCAAACTTTTGTATTAAATAGCTTTGCGTTCGTTCAATGGCAGCGTTAGAGACCATTGGCCCTATGATGAATGGAATGAAGAAACGTTCAGACACTGTTGGCATAGCCTGTGAAGCACTTAATCGAATGTTTCAAAAGGAACGAAATGATCTAGTAGTCCAAGTAAGCAAATTTTGTAAATTTCTGATAAAATGGCACTTTGAATTATGATTATAGTTGTGCATTTTTCCCTATTTATTTATATTTACTTTATGTCCCTGTCTCACTATCCCAAGTGACTCTGGGTGAGTTACAATAATATAAAATCATAGACAAAGATATTAAAAGCATTAAAACTAAGGTTAACAATTAAACAAATAAAACATTAAAACCAAGAGTATGGATGGTATGGGGGTGGACGTTTGTCTTTCATTCAATCAACCATCTCCAGCATAGCTCATCCCCTTAGAGGCACAGAGAGAGTCAGGCTTTAAAACTTTTCCAGAAGGGTGGAGGGGGTTCTAACTTCTGGAAGTAAGCTGTTCCAGAGAGTAGGGACCATGACAGAGAAGACTTTTCTACTTGACTCTGCTGATCAGAATTCCTTGGATTATCTGGCACTGTATTGTCAACAATGTTACTTTATGAAGATTAATTTTTGTGGAATTTTTGTCTATGAAAGTATGGTAGTTTAAGAGATATAGAAAAGCTGAAATAGGTTCAGAGAAGAATTTCATTATGATGCTAGGCCTGAAAATCAAGCTCTCTGATGAATAGTTAAAGAAAGTGAGGATCCATAGCTTGCAAAAGAAAATGATTGGAGATATGCTAGTTGTCTACGAAAATATAGAGTATTGTCATACGTAGGAAAGGACAGACCTATTCTCTGAATAGAGGAGAGGAACCAGAGAGATGAAATTAAAAATAGAAAATTCAAGCCAAATATTAAGAGACATTATTGGCAGAGCATTAAGCTGTTTGTCTAAAACAGAGCTGGGGAACTATGGCCCCTTTTTTGAATTGTGGGCTTCAGGTCCCAGAATTCCTGAACCTAAAACAATGTTGTATCCCTCAAACAGGTTGGATAAACCCTGTTAAGAAAGGATTCCTACACAGGATTGCACATCATCTTTAAAATTCCTTCCAATGCATGTATTCTATGATTCCACATTTGAACTCAATTTATTTTAATTTGCTATTGAAATATTTTTAACTTCAGCTAAATGCAGTAGGAAGGCTCACAGAATTCTAAATCAAAATGTCTTAGTCTGAATTTAAGAATATGCTCATATTGTCTTGCAGGCCTTGAAAGCTGATTTAGTACCCTATCTCTTAAAATTGCTTGAAGGTGTTGGCCTTGAGAATCTGGAAAGCCCTTCAGCTACAAAAGCTCAAATTGTTAAAGCACTGAAATCAATGACTCGTAGTTTACAATATGGAGAACAGGTAAAATCCCAAGCATGTCTTAAATTCATTTTTAGAGCACACGGAATAAGAAGATTCATTGTAACTTTTATTTTGAAAATACAAGTTCTTCTGAATGGTGGAGTTATAAAAACTGAGGATGTAGTAAAACCAAAAATGACACTAAGCTAATTTCCATAAGGATAAGTGAGCCCTCTCCAATTACCTTACCTATACAACAAATACAATAAATTGTTCTCTATTTCCTCACTTTTGTAGGTGAATGAAATCCTGTCTCAATCTTCTATATGGAGTGCCTTCAAAGATCAGAAACATGACTTGTTCATATCTGAAACTCAGACAGCAGGATACCTCACAGGTTAGTATACATTTCCAGTGAAGGCTTATTGACTGTCCTTCCTTGTTTTATTCATTATATTGTTTGTCTGTCCTTGAAAGATCGCTTGATTGACTTCTAGTTGGTTTTCATGTTGTTAATGAAATTGCTACATAGTACAATACAGGCTAAAGTAATGTTCCCATTCATCATTTCTTCTGATGGTTCACATCTGAATAGATGATTGTGAAAGCAATAACAAATACTTGAAGGGTCTAAGAAATAAATGAAAAGGTGACTTTCTTTCGAATCTAGCTTTAATTCCTCAAAGGATTACAGGATTATGTTTCAAGCATCAGACAACAAAGCGTTCTCAAAATGTGATGAAGTTTATGCTTCACTTTTTGCTTCAAAGTGCTTTGCCGTCTGTACTTCCCTTGCTTCTGGTTTCTTTCTCCCTCAGGTATCTCCTCTCCTTCCCTTCTATCTGGTAGCAGTCCCCTTCATCTCAGAAGTGGGCTTTAGATCTCCTTTGGCAGGCAGTTTGCTAAACTTCTCTCTTGCACTCACTAAAGCAGGTAGATACCATTTTGCTCAGTGCATGTAGCTTCTGCGCTATCCCAGATTACATGCTTACAAGATGCATGATGTACCATTGTAGCAAATATATGGCTGTTTTAAATTGGTGCAAAATGCTGTAGTTGCTGCCATGCTTTTGGGGTCATTGATTTCAGGCTTCCAAATTACAGCTGCCTAAAAATGAATTTTTATATTTATATATGTATAAAAATCTATTTTCAATTATGTCAAAGCATTATCTAAATAATGCTTGAAGATACATATGGGAAGAATGGAAATCTGAACTCTGAGAGCAGACTGCTTATAATTAATGTAGCTAAAGGGATTTGAAAACAAAAACTGTCGTGCCACAGATAAAACAAGTAATCTTAGTCTGGTCTAAACTAACCTAACAACATACTCAACAGTGTGATTTTTTTTTTCCCCTTATGGAACAGGTCCTGGAGTTGCTGGCTATCTTACTGCAGGGAGGCCTTCATCTGTTATGCCCAATGTTCCACCTCCTGTAGATCATGAAGCTGGAGATATTGGCTAAAGGATATGAATGGCCTATACAAGGGACTCAAAGGCAAAGATTTATTGGCTTAAACCTTTAGAATAAATTTTGCCTGCCTTTCCCAGTTTCAAAACAGTGTTATTCCCTTTTCTATGAATATATTTTTTTTTAGAAAATTTACAATTCTACTGCATTGTATCATAAAAGAGTACTTTGTGGATCAGCCTAAAAGAGTACACAAGATTTTTTTTCTTGCTGTACATAAGCACATTTATTTCTTTATATTTTTGTTTACAAGACTGTGAATCAAAACAATTTTCCTAGTATTTTGTATTATATGAACTAGCATGACTGAAGTTGAACTGCAGTCTCAAAGAATTGGCTAAATCATTTGATCCTCCCAAATTGCACTAGAAGTTTCTTTCTTCAATGCTTCAAGTTGGACTCGATCATCCTCTGAGAACTTGACTGGCTTGGTGTTGTTTGTCTACATCCCCAATCACTACCATAAATAAGATCCTTGTGTGTTAACTGGCTTTACCAAATCAAAAAACTAAAATACAGCAAAATGATATTTAAAAATTACATGGTATATAAAAGCATTGTGTAATTGTGATATGTTCTATACATTATTCAGTATATAAAACTTTCTATATTGAATGTACATTATTCAAATCATTCATATGTACATAAAATTTAAAAGAATAAAGGGAACTGAAAGCCTTGTTGAAACAAACTTGTATTACTATTTCATTTCTTGGTAAAACTAAAAAGAAAATCAAGAGACTTTTATAAATAAAATTGTATATTTTTATGTTAATACAGGCTCTAGTGGCATGAGGTAAGACAGAATTATTCAGTTATTTTTAGAGTTCTAGATAGACATCACAAGAACTGTCAGCAACAGATAAAGACAAAAACAGATACTTCTACAAAACATAGGGAATGAGAATTGTAGGGGGAAAATTAGATCAGAATTTTCCTCCACTATACAGTTATATGTTAGCAGATGGTCAGCACTGTTTCTGCTATTTGTATAAGTGCCAGTTAATCCTTTTGTAAAACTGACAACAAAGGAGGCCATGGGTTGCAATGTGAAATTAGAATGATAAACAAAGTGGCAGTTTTTCTGTGATTTCCATTTTATAAAGGCTGCTATGAATTTGCCACATTTTTCTTTTTTCAGTCTCCATAAAAAGGTTGGAATTACTAATTACTTATTGCACATTATCTTAAGAAATACAATAACTGGTATTTAACTGCTAAAACCAGTTTAATCGAAGAACAAGGCTCAAAATACCTACATGTTTTTTCTAATGGAGAAAATCAGACAACCCAGGAAAATAATTTTTATTTGAATGATTTCTGAAACAACTTTATAATATAACACGTTTATAATAACAAGTTTATAATTGTTCACTAACCAGCAGACTAGGGAGGGTCAAATCAGCTAGAAGAAAATGGAGTATAAAAATAAGAAAACTCCAGAATTTTTTTTTAAACAACCTGCTATAAATGCAAAATGATACTACTATGCCATTTAATTTGAACAGATAAATTAGCTGTGATCTTCATCACTGTCGCATTTGTACAGGAGTATTGAGTTAAATAGTTGTTGCCACCAAGATACCCACACTTTCTAGAACTAAGAGTTTTGCTCAGGAATGTTCTTGTTTACTGAATTATTTATTTGATAAATATAAAATCAATCGGCTCAGTCATTAAAATAATATTTTATTGTTTAAAGCAGATTACAAAAAAAGTTGGATATGTTAATTTATTTGTTGTTGCCCATTTCCAAAGATTTAAATTTACCATAGCTTAAAAAGAATAACTTCACCAGAGATAAAATGAATGGAAATCTTAGTAACATAGTATACTATAAGTATATAAGTATAATATATTTTATTTTCATTATCCCCAACAGCAAACAGCAGGGGTGATGAATTCTGTGGGATGGTTTAGCAACCCTTGTGCTCGCTCTTATTCTAGTTTTGCAATTAAATTACTCAAATTTTCTGCAGAAATAAAGACAAATTACTCAAATTTAATCAAAGTTTTGGAATGTTCCTCTTTAAGGCATCGTGCTTAATTTTAAAAAAAAAATGCTGTGTGGAGGAAGGTTATGACTTCTCATTGCCATCACAAAATAAAATAGTTGTTACAGATGTGCATTCAGTTCCCTGGCTTGGTCGAGCAGTTCTAATTTTGCAATTGCTGAGAGATGAACTTCATCAGGCCCATCTGCCACACGCAAAGTCCGAACATAGGCAAACCTGTTAAAAATATTAAGATTGTGCCAATTCAACAATACAGAACAGAGCTTGGTAGCTGCTATTTTAGCACTCTTTCTAATTATAATATTGGAATATTCAGTGACTGCTTTACGTAATATAGGCAAAAACAGCCAAAATTTAGTTAAGTCTATAGTTTTATTAGTGTTAATTTTTAAGCTTTAACAAGACAGTGTATGTTTGGTAGAATCACATCTTTTTGGCCAAAACAAATGACTGAGTGGGATGACTGAAGTTCTAGGAGAGACGAATCTTTTGAACTAAAAACTTAAGAAATAATAACATGCATGCCTACATACAGTTACCGTGCCTTAAAATTAACATCTCTGTCGCGATTTGAAATTTAATTTAGCTTAAAGTACAATAAAGATAAACTTATTTAAATAAACTATCCTCAGATCAAAATATTTTCAATCATGCTTGACCACTGCCTTGATTTGCCAAAACAGAAGATTTAAGAATTTAGTAGCTATTACATATGGCTGTTGGGAGAGTTCTAGCAGGGCTGAGTTGGTGCTAGTATTTTCCACTTACATTTGAGCCAATGGGAAGTCTTCTGAGAATCCGGCAGCACCACAAATTTGAATAGCACAATCTATCACCTTAAGGACTGTTCGGGGTGCCATCACTTTGATCATAGCAATCTGTGAAGTGAGTTAGATTAGTGTAGGAATAAAGTCATTCGTGGAAGCTGAATTTTGAATCTAAGGAAGTAAAATGTTGGATTTTTAACTTTCTAAGCCTGAAAGATTCTAAGTGGGACATAACAAAGGGGAATAGGGCATTGTTAATATGGGTATCAAGCCTACCTTGAGACTTTTGTTAATAAAACTCCCTATTTACAACCCTGTTTTCCTTTATTTCATTGCTTTCTTAAATCAACACAAATAATTGCATAGTAGAGGACAACCACACGAATGGGATAATCTTATCAAACTTGGTCCAAACAAGACAGAGTCATGCTTCACTTAGCCACAAAGTACATAAAATCTTGGGCACTATTTATAGTATGGATTTAATAGTATAATAGAATTTAACCAAGTTTACCAATAAAAGATTTAATTCTTTGAAAGTCTACTTTGAGAGGTAGATAATGAGCCATGTATTCAATTATCAATTGGTTAATTGACTGTTGACATCAGTTCACATCATTGGCAAATTTAAGGCAATTGATTTAAATCACGGGTGTCAAACTCGTCACGTGATGTGTCACGACCTATCTTTTTGCATTGCCAGCAATGGGGTGGGCACGGCTTCAATATGATGAAACCGGCCACGGGCCGGCAGTTTGACACCCCTGATTTAAATTAACAAACCACATACAGACCAAATTAAGAATGTAGTCTATTATGTTTCTCAAGTATATGCAACTGTTGATGAAAACCACCGTTTTCTTTCGTTCTCAGCAAAACATTTTCATTAATTTAATTCAATACCTGATAGTTTGCCCCTTCTTGCCCCATCCCCTATACCAGGGGTGCCAAACTCGCAACATCACATGATGTGTCATGACATATCGCCACTTTTTTTCCATTGCCGGCAGTGGGGTGGATGTGGTTTCGGCATGACGCATCCAGCCGGCAGGCCAACAGTTTGACACCCCTGCCCTATACAAAATTTTAGTCCTGTTACCTCTTTCCTGGCTGCTTTATTGCCCATGGCATCTATTTTATTGGCTGCTTTCAGTATAAGCAACCTTGCCTGTTCAATGGCAATGCGGCACTCAGCAATCCAGTGAGCAACAACTTCCTATAGGAAAAGGCAAAAAGCAAATTAGAAAATGCAGTTTAAATACAAAACTACACACTGTAGAGATTTTTTAAAAAGTGTTACTTTGCCACCCTGTACCTCTTCTTATCAATTTCATGTCCATCTTCAAGTTGCAAAAAGAGTTTTTATATGCAAGATTATAGAATTACAGTGGGGCAAAAAACTATTTAGTCAGCCACCAATTGTGCAAGTTCTCCCACTTAAAAAGATGAGAGAGGCCTGTAATTGTCATCATAGGTAGACCTCAACTATGAAAGACAAAATGAGAAAACAAATCCAGACAATCACATTGTCTGATTTGGAAAGAATGTATTTGCAAATTATGGTGGAAAATAAATATTTGGTCACCTACAAACAAGCAAGATTTCTGGCTCTCACAGACCTGTAACTTCTTTAAGAGCCTCCTCTGTCCTCCACTCATTACCTGTATTAATGGCACCTGTTTGAACTTGTTATCAGTATAAAAGATACCTGTCCACAACCTCAAACAGTCATACTCCAAACTCCACTATGGTGAAGAGCAAAGAGCTGTAAAAGGACACCAGAAACAAAATTGTAGACCTGTACTAGGCTGGGATGACTGAATCTGCAATAGGCAAGCAGCTTGGTGTGAAGAAATCAACTGTGGGAGCAATAATTAGAAAATGGAAGACATATAAGACCACTGATAATCTCCCTCGATCTGGGGCTCCATGCAAGATCTCACCCCGTGGTGAGATGATCACAAGAACGGTGAGCAAAAATCCCAGAACCACATGGGGGGACCTAGTGAATGACCTGCAGAGAGCTGGACCAACGTAACAAAGGCAACCATCAGTAACACACTACGCCGCCAAGGACTCAGATCCTGCAGTGCAGACGTGTCCCCCTGCTTAAGCCAGTACATGTCCAGGCCCATCTGAAGTTTGCTAGAGAGCATTTGGATGATCCAGAAAAGGATTGGGAGAATGTCCTATGGTCAGATAGAACCAAAGTAGAACTCTTTGGTAGAAACACAACTCGTCGTGTTTGGAGGAGAGAAAATGCTGAGTTGCATCCAAAGAACACCATACCTACTGTGAAGCATAGGGGTGGCAACATCATGCTTTGGGGCTGTTTCTCTGCAAAGGGACTAGGACGACTGATCCGTGTACAGGAAAGAATGAATGGGGCCATGTATTGTGAGATTTTGAGTGCAAACCTCCTTCCATCAGCAAGGGCATTGAAGAGGAAAAGTGGCTGGGTCTTTCAGCATGACAACGATCCCAAACACACCACCCGGGCAACAGTGGCTTCGTAAGAAGCATTTCAAGTCCTGGAATAGCCTAGCCAGTCTCCAGATCTCAACCCCATAGAAAATCTTTGGAGGGAGTTGAAAGTCCGTGTTGCCCAGCGACAGCCCCAAAACATTATTGCTCTAGAGGAGATCTGCATGGAGGAATGGGCCAACAGTGTGTGCCAACCTTGTGAAGACTTACAGAAAACGTTTGACCTCTGTCATTGCCAACAAAGGATATATAACAAAGTATTGGGATGAACTTTTGTTATTGACCAAATACTTATTTTCCACCATAATTTGCAAATAAATTCTTTCCAAATCAGACAGTATGATTGTCTGGATTTGTTTTCTCATTTTGTCTCTCATAGTTGAGATCTACCTATGATGACAATTACAGGCCTCTCTCATCTTTTT